ACACACACATCTTTCACGATTTCGACGAAGGGCCTCTCGAGAAGAGAAGATGAAAGTGCAGAGTGGAATGGGAACCTGGTCGAGGTGGAGTCGATTGAGGGGTAGGCACTGTTCCTGGACCCTTTCCACGGCGCCAGTCTCCTTGTTCAGCCTTTCGGCCTCGTGAGCGAGATAGAGATCCAGGACGGGGATCCCCCGGCTCCTCACATCCCCTTCCGTGAGGGCATTCAACATCAACATCACCCACACTGGCCTCTTCCGTTCCCAGTTCCCTGCAATGGCTTTGAAGAGGTAGTCGGCATAGAGTCCGTGCCGGGTCGGGGACCCAGACCCGGACTCCTCGCCCAGCCACTGCGGGAGTTTCCCGCGGACGTAGGCCAGGTGTCGTTTGATCCGGACGTAGAGGCTACGCGGCAACATATTTGCCAAGCTCTCTCCCTATTTGGGGGCAAAACCGAATACATAAAAATGAAAGAGATATCCGCGACGATCGATCGAGCGAGCTCAAAATCAACGATAATGGTCAACATTTTTTCTTTTTCAAGCAGGATAGTACTTTTAACGCTTCACAAGCGAACATGTGACGAGTTTAGAGGAGGAAATAAAGGAAACGTGACGTAAGGGAAGTGAAAGAAGAGTCAAGTGAAGGAGATTGTAAACTTAATTATTAACTAATACGTAACACTCATACCATATAACAAATTTTCCTTCTAAATTTCCCTGGCTGGAGTCCCAAAACACGGATGCAAGGATGCAATGAATAAAAAGGAACATTCTAAGAGAATGTCGGTCGATTTTATTAGAGCATTCAATAAACTCAGCCTACAGCTTTAGCTACAAAAAATAATTGTTACTAATAATGAAATATGAGTCCAAATCATCCCTCTAAGTTGGATCATGAATTTTTTAATCAAGTGCCTGCGAGGTGTCCAATACTGAAACGCAAGGTCGATCAGATATGAAGATATCCACAATGCTTTCATGACGTTCTGTCACGCAGAACTGGTTTCCTTCAGATTTTTAGGGGTAGTTAAGGATGAAATAAAATTTTATTGACCCAGATATTAATCAAACTGAGATTAATCAAAACGAACAGCTTACAGCAAAGTTAATCCGATTAATTTTTGAAGCTAATTACTAGCCCAAAACAAATACAAGACACGGTGCCTTTAATGCAGCAACTTGTCCATGCATTCCGTGACAGCTCTGTCGATACACGCAGCTCGCTCTTTGTTAGTACAAAAAAAAAACCCAGGAGAGTGAACTTGGAATGACGACATACGACCAGTGCAATCCGGCAACCGCATTACTCCCTTAATGATTCAGTCGGGAAAGGGAGGAAAGAGGGACGCCCAGTACGGCCAGTATAGCCCTGGAGCGGGTATAACAACTGGTTTTCTCTTCTCGTCAATCTCATACCGCAGTGAAAGCTCCGAAAGGTTTACCTTCGTCTTTTTAGTCGATGTTTGCTTATCAACTGAAAAGACGATTTCGTACAGGAACCTCGAGAAGACAAACGACGAAAGACGTCGGGGGATCTCGCCAGCGGCCAGCGCCACTGCATCCAACGAAACTCTTGCCAAGATTCTAAGACATGCTTGGGTTTCGAAGCGAGATAGATGGACTGGCGATATTTGCAAGGGGTGAGAGAAAAAAAAACACATGTTCTTATTTCAGCGTAATTGTCAACGTTAGAGCTTAGGAGCAGAAGAGGATCAGCGAATCGTCGTACGATCTAAAGATACCTCGATCCCGATAGAAGATGCAGGCGATACGGACACTCACCCTGGGTAGCATTTGGCAGTGGGAGAGAGCCGCCATGGTCTGGGGATCGGTGAGGTCCAACTCGAAGAAGACGGCATGGGATTGCGCGAAGGCGGCTTTTGCATTCCCCGGGATGTAATCCCACACTCGCGTGTACGGCACGTGGATCGTACCGAAGAAAAAACTCGGCGGATCTCGCTTCACTCCCCAAAGGAACGACGAAGAATCTTCCTGCAATTAAATACCATTTACAAAAACAGTCCCGGATTTGAAGGCAAGGAATGGAAAAAAAATAGTGGAATTTCCCGGCCCACACGTGTGCTCTGCCGGTCGGCGAGAGCATAAAGGAAGAGAACATGAAAAGGCGTCGAGCGAAAAATCGCCGTCATTGAATCGACGGACAGGAGCATTCAACTTGTTTTCCCACACGTGAATGGGTCTAGGTGAATCGAATTCGAAAGCCAGGGAGAGGAAGAGAGGGAAGAATAAAAGAAAAGTCTCCTCCATCTGGCCGGATAGATAAGAAAGGCGGTCTCCCTCTCTCGAGATAGTCCAAAGGGATCCCGTTTATTTACTGGATCATCTGAAAGGACTCCGCTGTGAAAACAAACTGACGGGGACGCTGACAGGTGCAGCTGAGAGCCCCGAGTCCCCTGTACTCGAGGAACAATCGTGGGGAACTCACTTCTGGGTGAGAGTTGCAGTTGCCCGGTCGCCTCATCCACGTTCGTCTGCACACCACCAAAGACGTGATAAAGCTCTAAAGGGAGACAGAAAAAAAGGGGGATGAGATGATGACGGATTGAAGCAGTCAGCCTTGGGATAAAGACGAGGCAATGACAACTATAACGAGGGCGCCGGGGAAATTTAAGTATAAATCCATCATATTTCCTCCCCGTCCCGTTAGATTCCGCGTCTAATCCATGGCAAAAATATCGCCAGTCCATCTATCTCGCTTCGAAACCCAAGCATGTCTTAGAATCTTGGCAAGAGTTTCGTTGGATGCACGTGTCAAATAACCAAAAAACAATCCCGTCGACGCTTTCCCAGGCAAGGAATTTGATGGCATAGAGTAGGAACTGTCCAGAGATTTCAGGTTCAGGGTAACTCTTTTGTCCTCTGTACGTTTGTCAGGCGCTCCGATCGTAAGAATCCATGAAGTCCTCACGAGACCAGAAACGTTGAGGATTCCCCTCCGTCCCGTGTCTTTCTTTGCGCCTAGTATCTTTTCCCTGGTGATACCCACGAAACAAACGGTAACTCTGGGCTTCGTTTCGCTGTTGCGAAGACAGAGGAGAAAAAAATCGTATTTGTGATGATACCGTTGATGCTCCACACGCTAGGGTGTCACGACCCAGGGCAAGGGTGTCAGACCTGGTCTGAGAATCGACTCCCCCGGTCGCTTCCCTACCGTCAACATGCTCATCTCTTCCGATGCATAAAATCTATCCGGAAATGTCACCGTTTCAGTTTCATGGAATAAGCTGCAATAGCTGCTCCCACTCTGTCCCATTGAAAAAATCATTAGCCACCGCACAAGATGACAAGAAAGGTGGGTTAATTCTACGATATCGGGTGGAATAAGAAGAATTTCGTAAGCGTTCGTTCCTCTCTCGTCCGGATAGGGAGGTGAATGAAGTGGAAACCGGAGATGACAGACAGGAATCTGACAAGGGTAATCAGAGCTGCTCATCTCTGACAGAAGACCTCCGTCCCTAGATGAACGATAAGAAGAAAAAAGGTTTTCCTTTCCTCTCGGTTCCGAGACGTTCCCTTTCTAAAAGCGTGGGCGAGACTGGCAGGCCTTTGCAAGTTGCATTCGTCACGGGGGTCCAGCGAGGAAGGATACAGTAAGCTTGACGGATGAGGGCGGCAAGCCTTTCAGTCAAATCGTTCCAGGATTTTCCCTCCTATCTGCCCATTTTCCGACGTTCTCAGGAGACCTACGGCTGCGAGAGCCACGGTCATGAATGTTGCCACATCGTGTTCGCACCACGATGGTATGGATCTAAGGTTGCCTCTTCCATCAATTCTTTCATGAAAAACCATGCATTGGGTGCTCATTGGAACTAAAGTTTCCTCACCCATGATTAAAATCGGGCTCAATGCACGTGCGAATACGGCAAATCTGACAACCCTGGCGTTTTTCGCGGGGGTCTGAAAGGCATCTGAGCGATAGATCGAGTTTATCACTTTACGGCCTGTAGTCCCAATAAACCTGTCGAGGGATTTCTATATCCAGGAATGGACTGGAGGTTTGAAGGTGGGGGGAGGGGGGGGGGGGTATGAAGAGGAAGCCGCTGGGGGTCGGCGGAATGTCAACAAAAGCAGGAAGAGAGCTCTGGAAGAGATGAGAGACAAATGATGCTTGACGTCTGAAGAAACAGCTTGCTGGAAGACGAAGATGAATCCCCTTGTGTGGTCTGTTTTATTTTTCCCACCTCCCACGTTAGCGTGATTCACGGCTTTGCATACCGACCGTATCTCTTCTGTTCTCCCTTAACCTCCTGGTTCGCGGTCTCTTGTCATCTGAGCATGAGGTATATTGAGACGGTCACAAACAGTTATACCGGTTGACCTTGTCCAGAACCAGGGCATAACTGCCCTGCTCCTTAGTTCTTGCGCAATACTCTATTGAGAATAAACATTAACTCCTTATCTAAGGCAGGGGAGGTTTATCAGGTGCCACACAAGAATGCCGAACATTGAAAAAACGAAGGTCAGATTGAAGCGACGGTTTCCTACTGAGGTCGGCTTCTTGCTTCACGACCCCTTAGCAGATATGGAACGCGGATTATGCCAACAATATGCAACCTGGAAAAATAATATAAAGATTCATCCAAGGACTCACAACAATGGGCATGGACCTAAATGGTAGTTGGCGCCGATAAGCAATACTACTCCAGACCCTCCCGTTCAATTTTTTGCGCCACTCACATATACCAAATACTAATACGTCATTGGAGGAAATTCGTGTAGGTTAGGCCTAGGCCTCGACTTGAGGCGAAATGACTCACAAGGAGGAGGCTGGAGACGACAAAGAAGTAATCTGCCTGAAGCCTCATGCAGGTCATGCCTCGTAGACGAGGACTGGGAGCGTGGGCCCCAGAAAGATACACATTTGGAAACCCCCAAGCCTTATCGGCCTTCCACGCCCTTCACCCAAACATAACATGGGCCACGTGCGAGCACGGGGAGGCGCATAACGTTTGCCATCGCTCTAGTTCAGACATCATTCCGGGCTCTGAGGAAAACGTCTCCAAACAGAATCAAAACAAGAGAAACCGCGAGCGAGCACACCACAAGCGGGACTGGGTTTCTTCCCATCTGTGCCTTGGGATGCAAAAGTAGGCGGTGCCATGCTACATATTCAGGGAGCATGCGCATGCAGGAGAGGTCGCGTCAGGACGTCCGACAGCATGCCGCGGTCCCTCTACGATTATGAAGCTTGCTCGTGCACCGGTTAGCCCGGGGACACATCGACCAAATCCCCCATTCCCACACTTGCTGAGAGTCATAACCCCACGGAGAGGAGCTGGGTTCTAATCACGGCGCCCCGTCGTATTATCTGAGGATGACAGTTGAGAAGGCTTGAGTGATGACCCCGAGTTTTCTGTCTAATCCCCCCTACCCATTTCCCTTCCATTCAGAGGATTATACGGCTGTGCCCACCTCAAAGGAATAGTCCTTGTCAAATCTACTTCCATGCCTTCTAGTAGCCCCTGTGTCTCTTACCATTGGCCGTACCCTCTTCACATTAGGCACAGTAGACTTAAAAGAAAAGCGTAATCTATTTTGACGCAAAATTCGTGCTTGCCCAAGAACGAAAATATTTGATGGATGGGGGCAGAGTACGGCATGGGCATAAAAACGCGTGGTAGAAAGCAGAAATTTCCTCTTGATGGATCATATGGGCGTGAGAATATGACACTATACTAGAGCGTTTTAGATGAAGATCAGGATTCCTCAACCATCAGCATCTACATAAGGCATTCCGAAGTAGTAATTTGCAAAATGTGGCATTCCTGCTTGCCTCTGAATTGGCATCACCATCACTATCAGAGTTTTTATCTGAACCCACCCAAACTTGTCTACTCCTTCCCGTTCTTTTTTGCCATTCCTTTCCACCACCTTCCATTATCTTATATCTTTAATTTTTCTAATTGAATCCAATAATGAGTAATCAGTTTGGAATTGGTTTGTTGCCTGATTACTCATACATACCAGCCCCACATTTGCCTGACTGGTACCAAGCTGTCAGGTGAGAATGAATTTGTTCAAAATCCAGATTTCAGATTTTTTTACATTCCTGCCATTCTTACATGATTAGCAAAGTATTTTCTTTTGCCCTTGCGGGTTGCACATTACTCAAGAAATCAGTGAGTAAAATATGCAATAACTTAGTATATCTTAGTCATAATGCAACAGACTCCAGTAAGTTGTTTACATATCTCAAAATGACAGTTTTGGACATGAAGCAATACAGTTCTCACCTGATGAAATCTGGATTATCAGGTGTGATAGATGATAAACCTACCCTCACAGAACACCACATTGACCACACTATTGACTGCTAACCAGGATTTATAAACCTAATTATAATGATGAAATAACACACAAATCATTTAAAGCGTACCCGGTTCCAATATATTCTTTTCAATGTGATTTTCAAACCACTGCAAACCATTGATTTGTGGTAAAAACAAAAAAGAGTACATGAAACATTGGATAAAAAACAAAAAAAGTGATTCAACTTTGGAATGGGATAAAAAATTGACATAGATTGATTCAGGAGGATGAACGATGAATGACATCTTGAATAGCGGAATAAGCACTTTTCAGGTGTGATACAAAAGCATCTCCATCACGATGGGGTGGATAACTGCTCACCACACAGCCAAGATCAGAATCTCGAATCCCATACCTGTGTCACCCCAAATAGTGATCACCAATGACTGTCTGCACTTCTATATATCAGATCAATGCCAAAAGGCTGAGATGGACAAACCCAATGCCAAATCCATCAAGGGAGACTGGTGCAAAACCTCCCATGTGGACAGCAGGACTTGACAGGGTGGATGTAGAGAGAATGATGTGGTTAATACGCATGTAGGATGGATGAAGGAATAATGGAGCCTTGTTCACTTCCCCCTTCTCCTCCAACAGAGTCCTTAGTGCCAGCAAATGCCTGTCAAATCCTTGACCTAGAACAAATAAATTTAGAGGAAACTACATCATACTTTTGTTATGCAGATGAGATGCTACAGGTAAAATGTCAACATTGTTCAATCTCTCTTTGCTACTCATGATTTTACTCAAATTTGGGCCCATCTTCCCTGCAGCATTTGCAATTATCTCCAAGGAACTGGTGACCATGAAGATTATTAACCAACAAATTATTGTTTCAACAAAAAGAAAGTAATAATGCGTTTCAAAATCAACAGCCTGAGACAACTCAATTGCCACTATACAAATAGCCCCAAGTTGCCAAAAAAAGGGTTCACACATGGCTGCAGATGGAATTTCATCCTAGATATCAGCAGGGTATTTACAAGATGTTACATTCATCTTGTACTGGTGGTTTCATGAAAATCTGAATACAATTTTTGTTCAGAACAAGAGCAAGAGCATTCTTCTGTAATGTCAAATGAGTGAGTGTGTCAGCATACAAAACCTGGTTGTTTCCTACTCACACAATTAAACTTGCCTTATAGCCCAGTCCAGCTGAGCAGGCAGGTACAGACCATCACGAGAAGTGAGGGAGTGTGATGGACTGGCACCATTGGTAATTCCTTGTTACTATCCGTGCGCCTTGGTGGGAAGCAGGCTACTGCCCTACCAGGTGATCACTTAATAAGCCATTTTTTATTAAACATAGGACTCCACTATAAAATATGATATAAACTGTATAAATGTTAAGGACTTTAACATCTTTATTGGCAACTCTACAAGATGATGGGAAGCAGTGGGCACTCTATTAGAGAGCTAATCATGCATGGAAATTCAGCCAAGAGGGAAACTGGTAAAGATATGGGCACATTCTTCTGTTCCACCTAATGTTGTTCATGTTATATATATGCCATGCAGTTGAAACTTGTTGAGTATCTCACTTTACATTCCAGCCATGTGTAGGTCAAGTATGAAGTTTGTCAAATATGAAATATGAAGTTCATGAAATACCCCATCCTGGAGATATCAACCATAAAATCATCCATCAATGATGCTGGACTTCAGTGTGAAACTGGATAAGAGTTATTGGACCCATAACTGAGAATTTTGCATTATATGAATCAAATAGCATACAGTAACATGGGTCTGGGCTAAGTAGACCATTTAGGCCAAACCTTGGCTAATACCACCCTCCTGGTGAATCTCTTATTTTCATCCAAACTGCCCAAATCGAATCATAGTGAATAGCTTTGCAAATGCACGAACCCATTGCAGCTTCTCTGGTGAGCTGGCCATGCTTGTTGGAGCAGCTTTCAAGGAGTTTTCTGAGGTCACTGACAGGAGTGTGGTGTGTACGGTTGGCAAACGCCTCACAGCATCTCTTGGTTTCAATTGTGGCTGGTCGGAGGGTTTCTGTGCGACCATGCTTGTATGCAGCAGTGCTGCAGGATTCATATGTCCCTACCACCTTCCCTCCACTCTTGTTGTAAAAGGCCATCTATCTCACATAAATGAACACACAGAAACAGTGAAAGACCTTTGAATATATGGCAGACACAGAAATGGAATATCTGAAGAATCATACCTGAAACCCAAGCTGCATGATGGAATCAGGACTTAGCTTGGCTGCCTTCAAGTTGTTCTTTCCAAATCCAGGATATTCAAGGAAATGGAACTTGAGAGAGTTTATGCGCCGTTCAAAACGTTCCTTTGCCACATGTATTGCTTCTTGGATCCGATCATCAACTCGGAAATCTTCCAGTATCACATTCAGAGGTGATTATAGAGCAGAATATATTTTATTAAATTGGCAAAAAATTGCTTAAATGCTGAAAAGTAAAATGATTGGTAATGAGCCTGATCAAAAGATCAAAAGGTAGAGTAAAGGAAAGGAATTTAGAAGTAGTGGAAGCAGGACTGCCAGCAAATAATTGAAAACAAATCTGAAGGGCCTAAAAAACCAAAATATTAAGGCTGCCATTTTGACTCAAGTAACCCTTTTGCTTCCACAAGTGTACTGACACACTCTTGCTAAGGTGCCTACTATCACCAGAAGCATACTGGTACACAAAGCAGTTGAACTATGTTCCTGAGAGGTGTCGCACCTCCTTTAAAACTTCTGGGTACTGGAAATTTGCTGATAGGTTTTACACAAAACATATACAATTTCTGACCAGTGTTGTGATGTGTGGTAAGGACTGTGTTACCATTTTACCCATTATTTTACCCATTTTAGAGAAACAACATTAGCTTTTCACAATTGCTATGTCTTGACCATCATGTTCAGTGAAGCCTTTGGCAAAGGACATTGTGCATGAGCTAATGTTGTCTGAAAGTGAAGATGATTGTAATAAAAATGTTTCTCTGAGTGCAAGTGACAAAGAAGGTGAATTTGAGGTTTGAGACCTCTAACAGTGAGGTCTCAGATGAGGACTCATATGATGCAGTGTTGGGGAAGAGCAGTGATGGAGGCCCCTCTGTGTAGAGCACTTCAAGGCCTCTCACACCCCCAAGCACTACTAAAACAACCATAAAATTATCCTGAAAACTGAAAATGAGGTCATTTGTTTCTTTTTGAGTGAAAAATATTTATATTTTCAGCCTAATAAAGCAGTAAGAGCAATTTCTACAAAACATTGCAATTTGACACTTTCTTCTTAAAAAAAAATTTGCAGTGATATAGGGTTGGAATGGGCAAAAGTTGTTGGCAGCAAAGGGGTTAATCTATCTATGAAAAATGAATAAAACTAACATAAATGAGTTTAAAATCTCCCCTATAAAGTATCCTATCCAGGATGGGTGATACATTTGTTAAGATTGTCAGTTCCCCATCTAAGTGTCCTCAATTTTCCTGCAAGGTGCTCAAAAGCTGAAGCTGAAGATGAAATGCAAAGGATTAGGTAATATCTATCTACAGTGCAGTCATACTTTAGGAAAGACATGATGACAATGCTGTTATCATGCAGATGACATTTCCTTTTCATCCTGCAGAATTATTTGTTTCCTTCACCTGATTCAGAGAGGAAATTATGGGTTGATAGAAATTAATTGCCTCAATTACTTCCTTTCTGGGAAGCCTGCAATTAATTACAGTATAAAATTTTTTTCATCAACTAGCTGTAATACAAAGCATTGATTAATAAAATGATGTAAGACAGTCTTTGGATAAGGATTTGCATATCAGCTCTCATTTCATTTGTCTGAAAACCTAAAAAAAAAAAGGAGCCAAAGTGGGATAAAAAAGTTTCTTGTACAAGTGCATTTCCACAGACTTAACAACCAAAAAAAACTGCACAAAGGATGCACACTAACTATATATATAACTAACAAGTTTGTTTGCCCTTCAGACAAACAAACTTACTATGGTCGTGCCTTCAGCGCTCCATTGTCCATGATAGTGTTTCATTCATTCATTTATTTTCAAAGTGGCAAAAATGTATTAAAATTATATGCCTATCAAAATGTGTGCCATGAGGGGACAAACCAATATTTTCATCCAAATAATTACTCCGATTATTTCTTGTGTGCCTAACATCAAATCTCTCCATAATCAGTCCTGAGGGGACATATTTAAAAAGTAGGATCTGCACTCAGGAATCGAAGAGGTACTTCTGCTCCAGGTTTAAACATTCTTTAGTTCTTTCTTTCATTGGATCAAAAAAGAATTGGGAAAATGCACTTTTGGCAAAAAATGTGCCCTGAGGGAATTTCCCTATAAATTAATTTTTTTTACTGAAATAAGAACTCAGAGAACTATGTGCCTACCATGTTTCAACTTTATTAGTTAGCCCTTTTTGCTAGTGCAAAAATATATTTGGAAAAGCCAACCAAGATAAAAGCTCTGCCCTGAGGGTATGCACCATAAAAATTGAATTTTTTCTAAGCTCAACATCACCTCAGTTATTGGTGTGCCAAGTTTCACCTTTCTATCTCTGCTGAAGTTAGTAGGACAAAATAAATTATTTGAAAACGTCACTCCCAAAAATATGCCCCCAGGGCATGCATCTGAAACTTGAAGTTTTTCTTGAAATCAACCTCCCAGTAGGCATGTCCATGTCAAGTTTCAGCTTTCCATGTTTATACATTTGACTGGGGCAAAAAAATTATTTGAAAACAACACCAACTGGAATTTGTGCCCCAGGGCATTTACCTCCAAAGTCTGAATTTTTCTACAATCAGCATCCTAATAGCTACTAGTGTACCAATTTTCAGCTTTTTAACTTCTCTAGAACATGGTTAGAATTAGCGTCAGTCACAATTGTCTATATATATTAGACATGCAAACTCATTTTTGTCTCTTGAGACAAGAAGTAGGGACTTTTTGAATGAATGAATTTAGAGGCAATATGGCTTTATATCATACTCAGAGGGTCCATGGAATGATGGAAGGTTTCAAACTGACCAAGTCGTGTCACATGTCGAGTTGGGTCAAATCCCTGAACTTTGATGGGGGTATCAGTGGAGACCATGGGTTTTTTTGTGGAATCAATGAAGATTTCATTGAAGAAGCGTAGAACAGCCACTCCATCACCCCAAGCATGCTCAAAGTTCACTGCTGCCCTCCCATCTTTTGTGAAGTGCAATGACAAGCTCTTGTCATACCATCTGAAATTAGAAAATTTTCATGTGGAAACACTAAATGGGGAAAATGAGGGAACTTGAATAAAGATGAAGCCTGACCTGTTTTTGCCATCCCCATGCAAGAAGTTATGAAAGACAAGCTCAGGGTCATCACCTTGCATATCATCAAATGTGAGACAGTAAAGAGCAGAGTCAATTTTCTTGAATGTGTCCCCATTGCCTAGATGACCAACAAGGTATTGTCTCAGGTCAGCCCAAATGTCCCGGTTTGCAGAGGTCAAGATTCCCAAGGGAATATCAGGGGCTTTTGCACTTCGAGGGTCTGTTGAGATGAAATCAAGGCAAGCTAAAACCTGCCAAAGAAAAATTACAAACCAGCAATTTTATATTCTTCTTCAGGCAACAGCTTGAGTGAGATTTGTGATGCATAAAGGTGTCAGCATAACATGAATGAAAAATATTGAAATGGAGAATTTTCACAAGATGGAGTATGAAAGAGCAGTTAGAATTTTTTAGACTATTATAAAGTAAAACGGAGAATCTACACTTGATAAGTTGACAGCCTACTGTACTACATATATTGAAAATCAAATCCAATATAATCCAATATAATAAAAATCAGTCCAATATATGGAAAAGTGAAATTTATAAAGAAATGACACTTTAGAGTGCATAACTGCAGCACATGGCACTGATGTAAAACCAACGTAATTGGATCACATAATACTAAAAGATGAATGAAAAAACCTTGGAATAACAAGATGTGCAAGCCCAGTCCAATAGTGGGCCTCCTTTCATTTTAGGAGACCTGCATATTGGCACCTAATTGAACAAAATACCAAATACTCTTTGCAGTCTTCAGCCATCAAAAATGTCATTTTTCAGCTATGTTTGAAAATTACCCTTGATGCCCATAAAATGATGATGGGAAGATGGAGGGTTGTGCATACTTGGAACCATCTGCCATGAAGGCTGGGAGGGAACTGACAGCTCTGATTGCTGACATGGCACCACACCCAAGGCCTGGGTTGTATGCGCATGTGCATTGTGATCCATATCCTTAAGGGCTCACGGGTACTCATGCCTTCCACTCTGTTAGCAAATTTCAGATCCAAAATTTGCAATAAAAATGCCAATTTTAATGCAAATTCACCACAAAAGAAACTCAGCCTGTATCTTTTTCATATCTACCTGCTGGCCAATTTTCGCATTGGTCAGGCCAATATTTTCCTAGTTATTGTCAGACAACCAAAGTGTGACACAGACAGACAGGACAGGATCATAAGTGGTCTCTTTCCTTTCAGGAAAGGAGGCCCACTAAAAATGAGAAGCTTATCTTTTTGTATATGCAGGGTGTCCATAAATTATCTGAACAATTTTGTGACATCACTGTTTCCAAACCAAAAGAGCAAGAACATTAAAACTTGGCACTATTAATAGGAATGTGATCTCCAAAGTTTTTATTTCTATGTTGGTAGCCCTGAGCCATTTAAGTAGCATGCATCATTGGTTTTTTTTTTAATAGCTTCCACCCAGCAAAAAGCTCTTTGCATTCTGTGGTTTAATGAAAAAAAAAATTCAACAACAGCAGAGCAGAGGAAGTTCAAAACTGAGTTGGACAAAGGTCATCTCTGGAGGTCCTCCATTTATGAGTGGTACAAGAAACTTCTGGAGACTGGATGTCTGTGCCAACGGAAAGGAGATGGGTGACTGAGCATTGATGCAGAGACTGTGAAGGTGATTTGAAGGGCTTTCTAAAGGAGTCCCAAGAAAAGTGTCTGCTGAATGAGCCAAGATTGTTCAGAAGGTATTTATGAAAATGCCAGACCTTACACAGCTACAACATATCCATTGTATAACAATCATACTGATTGATTTGTGCCAACACAAAAAATTTTGCTGCAGCATGCTGGTGCATATTGAGGAGGATGAAAATTATCTGTCACACCATTTTTAAACAATAATTTTCATGGGAGGTGGATTGGTGGAGGTGCTCCCATTCCTTGGCCACCAAGGTCTCTTGACCTGACTCCATAGAAAATTTTCCTGTGGGGGAGGGAGAAAGGCCACGTGTATGTCCCACCCATGCCAAAAAAACTTGAGGAGCTGAGAAACCAAATTGACGCAGCTATTGCGATGGTCATGCCAGACATGCTCTCTTGGGTTTGGAGCAAGATCAAGTACTGATTTGTGTGTACCATTCACTGTGTGACTACTGGAAGCTGCACTAAAAATTTCTGAAACTTTGAGGAGAAAATTTTGATAATATGTGTGTGTATGCCAACAAATGTGCCAAGTTTGAATGCTCTCACATTTGTAGTTTCAAAGCAGTGAGGTCATAATATTGTTCTGATAATTTATGGATACCCTGTAGAGGGTGATTTGAACTAAACCAGTAAACATTCACGATGAACTTGTAGATGTTTGTGTACAGCATCTCAATATTCTCCAAAGACTTCTGTCATTTACAAATTTGCACATGCAATTACGGTAAATACTGTGTAAAATGGGATGACTTGATACACAACATATGCTTAAAAGGTTTTGGGTTGTCAACTTTTTCTTAATATCATAATCAAATAAAGACAATTTCTATCAATCCACAGATTATTGCACTGATGTACAAAAATCAACATTTCAGTACAAGTTAAATCCATTATAAGTTTTCCAAAACTCTGGTTTATGCTGTTTGGACAAGGAAAACAAATTTGGTCAGGCAGAACTTTCAAATAACTGGATGTTTGGATATACCAGGAGCAGAGATAAAACTTGCCATTGTTTGAATTTTTATATCAGGAAATCATTCATTGTAACAATAATATTTGTTCCAGGATACATACATCTATCAAGTTGTGCTGCAAGTGGTCCATGTCTTTGAGACCTAATACTCTACCCAATGAACCATGGAAGCAGATTAGTATAGGTCTTCAAGGAACATTCATCCTGGGTGAGACACATGCTCTAAGTGTGGACTACAACTCACACTTTCTTTTCCTGATTGTCTTGATTTTGATTGGGATTACTGGGAGAAACTGTGCGAAATTTTTTTCTTGACATATAGCCCTTCAGAAACTATTGTATCCAACAAAATCCACAGTAAATTAAAAGGACTTTTCAAATAATTCTGCACTCATGAGAGCACCTAACAAGGCCAAGCAAACAGGAAGGTTGACTGATTGAAGTACTATCTAGTAGTTCATTCAAATATGCAAAGCAAAGAAGAAGCCCTTTCTGCAATGTCTTGAAAATCTCTTGTTTGAGTGACACATGATACTGCATAGTGCAGGGATGGCCAAACTTCCTGGCCTAACAAGCCACATAACAAAATCTTCATATGGCTAAAAGCCACAAGACACACACCATTTAACACATGCATTCTCTAGACTCAAGAGAATGCATGAGTAGACTCCATGATCAAGAGCATTTTACTGTGAGCCACAATTGAACAGCCCAGAAGCTGCAGTTTGGCCACCCCTGGAATAGTATATCAAGATGACCTAATAGTCCCCCTAGGTTGACCAATTCAGGATACTCAGGGCAACCAACAAATTGGTTTAATTCCTCAGAGATGTATATCTTAGTATTTAAGGGTCATATGACCTTGAATTTTGGTAAAGTAAAGTAAAGTAAAGTCTTGGTCAAGTAAAAGTTTACTACACAATAGAGAGGGGAAAAAAGGATCCAACATCACCACCCACAAGAGACACCATGCATAGGTCGGACTGTCTGCCAAGGGAGGATACCTTTAATGAAGAAAATGGCAGAAAGCTTTTTGCTATATTTTCATTCAACTGATGAGTTAATCTCCCTTCATATTCAAAGAAGCAACAACACTCCACACCCTCCTGGGAGGAGAGATGAAGAGGAAACGAAAGTTGTAAATTTTCTAATTTTGTGGAAGATAGTAAAGATCATGCAGTAGAGTTTGAATCGGGAGTAGGTTTGCATGAAGTCGAGGTCATTGCACAGTTTGAATATTATATGCATAAGAAATCATTAATCTTGAAATATTTGGTGGAGGGGACTGCTAAAAGAGTTAGGAAAATAGGGATTCACAACAAACCAAAGAAATGTTCCATCTGATTTGAGTCAATTCTCCCACAAGATCCCCTCAACCTTTACAATCCATTTTTACTTACTATTTTCAATCCACTTGACTCTTTGCTGTCACCCCTCATCACATCATCTTTCAAAACAATATCAACTGCTTGGAAAAGAAGCAGGAGTACCTCTTTGCTTTTGAATGTCATTGTCATTATAATACAGTTTTTCCCAATTGCTAACGTGCGTTTCTCAAAACTACACTTCCGTTTTCAAAACAATTTGAACAAATCCCTGAACTCTGCAATCTTTTCACAAAACTTAACATCCGATTTCATTGCTAACGTACGAAAAGCGAAACTCGAAGTGCGATTTTCATATCTTCACGGACCTTTTTCGAAACTTAACGTACGGAAAAGGATAAGAAGACCGATTCGACGAGCGCCAAGGATGGATGCATGGCTGCTGACTACAATCCATTGGCCTATACTCCAACAAGTCCCTTCCAACCGATCACAAAGATTTTCTCATCGTTTAGAGTTGTCAGAGCTAAATGCTTCGTCTCAAACGTTGAAAGAATTTCTTACGTGGATGCAGAAATGTAATTGACAAGCAATAATGGTGACTCCGATTCAGTAGTATCCTAAATACCTGATCTTGAGTATTTACTTCGATTAATTTCTGTTATTACCAGCTAAAAAGGGTTGAAAAGGGAACTGCAGCCCCGAGTTTATGGGTGAAAATTGTTGCTTATTGCCTTGAGCTGATCACATCCGTCAGCCATTTTATGGTCATTTTTGTTTGCCATAGGTTACAAAAGTTGTATGACCTTGGGGCCCATTTTCGTTCATAGATATGAGTGTTAATTGCGAAAATCTCATGTTATGATCGCCAAATCTTTCCAACTTTCGAAGAGTTTCGAAAAATAGACTCTGTTCGTTTCCCTTAGCCCTCCATTGGCGAATTCCTGACTTCGCCGCTGGTTGTCACAAGAATAGATCAACTATACTCAGTTGAGGCATGAAATGTACCTTGAATTTCCTTCACCTGAAATATTCGTACTGCGTTTAAAAAAGTATGATTTTGCATATTTTCCCATTTTCGTGCATATTTCATGCATATTTTACAATTTTTAATCGCATATGCATGTGCATATTTTAGGGCTTATTAGCTTATAAAAATCCGCTTCCTAATGACATAAGTCAAGAAGTGACTTCTCAAAATAAGTCTGACTTTTTTAGGGTGTGGAAAGGAAATGGGAAATGTGGGAAAATGGACCCAACAGGCAGAAACCGTGATCGCAGAGGCATCTATTGTGGTGCAGAAATGTGCAATTCCCCGTTTAACGAAGGCGAGAGGGGAAGAATGGGAGGGGGGAATTTGTGTGCTTTCGAGNTTGACACGGGTACGTTAAGTTTTGAAAGTATTACATCATCACATTATCGCCTTTCCGTATTCGGAGGAATTATTTTCCCGGTCTGCTTCTTGGCTGTCCATAGACGTTCCTAACCCCGTACGTTAGAATATTGAAGAACGTACTTTGATTTTGACAAAGGGACGCCCTTTTGACTGCCGGACGCATAGATATGAGAAAAGAGCGCAGCGTTTTGCGGATCGTACGTTAAGTTTTGAAAAATGTCCATTGAGATATGAAATAGGGCTTTAGCAATTGGAAAAAAACTGTAAGAGAGAGTTTAGGTTCAGTTTACCTTTTGGGATATAGAACTGATTCATCATACCTGAGTTTGATCAGTATCATGAATTTGATCAATTACAAAAGAATTGAGAAAGATACAACAAATAATTCAAGATCCAATTTGAAATGCAAATGAGTAGGTCATGAATAAACAAACCTTTTCTGGTTGCAGCATATCCCCAGATTCTTCAATAACATCAAAGACATAAAAGTGGCCATTTCTCATGACAAGGAGGTGTCTGCCAGAAGGATCAGCCATCAGCCGATCTTTGCCATGCTCAGGAATGCGTGTTGAGTTCAGGAGGTTCTTGTACTGACTCATGTCCAGAGGGAAAGCCTTGAAACTATACGCAGTGTACCAGGAAAGGGGAGATGGAGTAAGAGCACACAAGGTACGGAATAAAGGTGTGTCACTTTTCTTTGGGATGAGGTGAAACACATCTGGCTCAAGGACTCCTTCAACCAGGCTCCGACGGAACCTGAATTGACATGAAAAGTCACTGGGTCTGATAACATTGGACTCATTCTTTTTTAAACCACTTCTCCAATTCCTTCATATCTGACTTGCATCTGAGGATGGGTCAACAAGGGCTGCATTTTTGGGGAAATTTGAATTTCTAAAACAAATTGGAATTTTAAAATTTGTCTCTCACAGTGAGTTATCAAAATGAAGAAGCCTGAAGATTTGAAATATATTTTCTAAGTGTATTTTGAACCAGAGAATCCCTGACTTCACTCTTGATGGTCAATTACCTGTAGTAAAAATGGTTGCATACTGGGATGGTGACCTATAGCCATTTTCAATATGAAAGAGGTAATGGGAACATATAAAAAAGAAAGGCACCTACCATTTTTTTTTAATCCTAAAAATTCTGATAATCCTTTTTGCAAGGAAGGAAATGTGTTATTTCAGTAATTATAAATGAGTGACCAAAATGATTTAGAAGGCTGCAGTATCCCAGATCCTACCATGATACGAGGACTTTTGTTTAGGGGTGACTAAGACAAACCAAAACATGCATGATGAGTTTGACCCAGGTTCCATACTGGATCAGTTGTTACCCAGGATTAGCAGGACAACAATAGTCATTATGGTGGATGAATACTGATAAGATGAATATTGAATATTGATTATGGCAGTCAGGCAATCTGCTGTTTCTAGGAACATCACACCCAGCTGTACTACATCCAGGACTATTGGTCAGTTTGCCATCAACCATACAATATTTGTGACACTAAGCCTTCAGGGCAGACCAAGAATAGAACTAAGGGTTAAACAACACAGAAAAAGAAATTTGGACTTTGGGTCTTGGAATGTGTTAACAGTTGGTGGCAAGAAGCCAAATCTCATGGGAGAGGTTAGTAAGCTTCAACTAGAAATAAATGGCCTAGTTTTGCACAAGCAGAAAGGCACAGAATCCATTGCCCTAGACCAGTGGTCAACAACAGGCAGCCTGCAGGCCAGATCTGGCCTGGTTATCACACATTAAAGTCTGCCAGTAGGTGTTGAACTGCACATTTGACATTGCATTTTCATTAAAATTGTAATTTTTCTGACACTTGATAGGTGTTGGCTGACCATCTGATCCCCTGTGAAATTCAGTAGCCAATCACTGCCATAGACCATGGGTGGACCTTCCACTGGAGTGGTTTGCCCAGGTGGGAGTGGGGATACTAAATAGTCCCTGGCTGGTTGACAGAAAGATTGATTGAAAACTGATCAGTGAATGGGTTCCTCTGATCCATCTCAGATTGGAGTAAGGTGGGGTCTTGGTTGTTGTTCAAGGCCTTACAGCAAAGCAAACTCTGATGCATTCCTGGAAAAGGTGGATGGGGCCCTACATGGGGTCCCAAATAGCAATCTCATGTGTTTCATATAGGGGGCTTCAATGCAAATGGTGTAAAGATGATGTAACAGTGGTAGCAAAATCATTGCATCACCTGATTTTTCTAACAAACATTCCATTGAAATGGAGTGTTTGGTCTATCTATCCAGTCTAAGTGGATGACTTCATCAGAAAACAATACTTAGGTGATTGGTGCAATCCCTTAAGACATATACATAATATCAGTTTTCTTGAGATAATGAGATTCTATCAGTATTAGTAATTTTCCATCAATCAGTATCAAGTGCAGATTGTTTGGACATAGTGGATGGAGTTGAGGCCAGGATGTATTTCTGCTTGATATAAGAACTGGGTATTGCCACATCAAGAGATACCCTAGCTGCCACTCCCAACAGATATGACATTCAATGGTAGGTGATTTATATGTGCTGTCCTTGTTTGAATTTGTTATCGTTGAAGTAGTTTAGAGATGACGGTATATGAGCAGAAGATGCCATCACTATCTTTGGTATTCTGGAAATCAAGGAAAATTCCCCTCAGAAGGGAAATTGGAAAATTGGCATTCAGTGATGCTGACAAGTAAGGTCTCTCAATACATTTTTCACTCCTACTCAGTTAGAAAGAGAGGAAGTATCATTAGATAACTGAGTAAATTTACCTATGGTAAGTGGTTCCCCTGAGACAAGAGGGTACCCCATTATTTTCTCAGCTGATAACAAATATAGGGCATAGATGCTTCTTTTTGCATATCATTCAGGTCGTATGTTCTCTTGCATCCCACCCCCAGGTACCAGGCATACTTTAAATAGTATGTAAATAAGTAAGTTTATTTGCCTAGATTCGGCTCGTCAGTGTCCACATATATAAAATAACAATAACTTTTTTTTTTTAAATAAAAAGAACCGGTTGAATCAAAGGGAAAAAAAAAGAAGTAAAAGCATCACGTAAGTTATCACAATGTAAGAAAAGGGAATCCTCTCAGGTATCTCATGAAAAAGCTATTTCTAAATAAGGAAATCCGGATTCTCGGGAAGACTAGTCTCTTTCTTGTTTTGGGTCCAGTATGACAGTGGAAGGGAGCGCACTCCGATTGCAAGGGATGCAAGAAATCCTCTTGAATTTTCTCATATAGCTGGATACCCAAGAGATGAATTTTCTTCAAAAATTCTTCATTCACGTCTTCAATGTCCTGGTCACCGATATATGCAATGCGCTTTAGAATTCGCATTATGTAAGAAGAGCTTTTCTTTGAGAGATAGCAGCCGTAGATGGGAAGGGCGTAACGCAAGCAAGAGATGATGCAAGCGTCAATGAAGAGGTGAATGGAGGAAGTTGAGTGCAGGATTGAGCGAGTCACATTCATAGCCAGATAGGATAATCTATAACATTTCTGAAAGATCTGTTCGGTCTGATCCCTGAAGCATAATTCCTTGTCAATGTGAGGTACTTGACCGAGTTAGTTGCTGAGATGACCGTCCCGTCGACACGAATATGTCAATTCTTCAGTCCAACCAGAAGTGGGTTTTTTAAACCCTTAATTGAAAACACGAGCTCTTGACACTTGTCTGGATTTATGATGAGGTTCTGCGCTTTCGACCATCGGACTAGGTGCTCGATGTCTTCTTCATAGTTGTGGATGTCCTCCTCACATTTGATGGCACTGAGAAGAACTGTGTCATCGGCATATTTGACATTACATGAGTTGGGATTCATAACTCGAAGGGAGTCGGTGTAGTAAGTGAAGAGGAATGGCGACAATACACTGCCCTGTAGTACACCAGTTCGGGATGCAAGGGTGTTTGAGGCTTTCCCATTCATGAGAACAAACTGACTGTTCTTGGATAGGTAGTCTGTGATCAACAGCAGAAGCCATTGTGGTATCTTCATTTCTGCAATGCGAATCAAAAGTTTTTGCCAATCGATGCAGTTGAACGCTGAGCTATAGTCTAGAAATAGACTGTGTACTATTCGGTTGTTGAGGTTCGTTCAATTCTTTGCTGATGTAGTGGAGGATCATGAGAATAGCATCTTCAGTTGACCGAGATACTTTGTAAGCAAATTGATATGGATCAGACGAGATCACTCCAAATTTATTCAGCTGTTGCAGGAGGAAATATTCAAATGCTTTCAGAAAAGGTGATGAAGACCCAATAGGGCGAAAGTCGTTGAGGGCTTTGGGCTGAGGCTTCTTTGGTATGGACGTTATTTTAATCCTTTTCAACGATGATGGTATTATTCCGATGGAGACCCATCGGTTGTATAGATGTGTCCAGGGGAGAGTTAACTCGTGGGCACAAGTTCTTAGAATCCACGTTGGAATTCCACAGGCTCCTGTGGATAACTTGAGCCTAGGCCTGCTTAGTAGTTTCTGCACATCTTCCTCCGTCAAGTTTGGCGATGAAGGATCTGGACAATATAGCAGAACTTCCTGTGGTAGTTCAGGATCTGAATCAGCATTCTCAAATCTTAGAAAGAATTGATTGAGTTCTGTAGAGAATCGGGTCCTTGCTTTTTTGGGTCGATCGTCCTTGCCACTCATTTTCTTGAGCTTATCCCAGGTTTTCTTGGACTCAGACGCCGACTGCTTATGTGCAAAAAGAGCTTCATTGACGTCGTTCACTTCTTTTGGAATAATCAAAGTCCAGAATTTGAATGACTGTATCTCTTCTCACAAGTGCTTTCTCTTGTTGTCTCCTAGCATGTGTTATCTTCTGATTTCTCACGTAGTTCTCTTCTACTTGGACTTCTTCTTTGGGACAGATGAGATCGTAGCAAAATTTAATGTATGCTGATATTACCGCTTCAGGATCTTCCGACTCAAGTAGAACGTCCCAGTCTGTGACATCTAACTCAAAATGCAATCAGTCCTTGTCTAGCTTTCTTATTTGATTTCTTTTCCAGCATCTCTCTCTCGAATATCGGCAGAGGAATTGAGGATATATCAAATACCAGATACAAACACCTCATCATGGCAAACAATACTGACCTAATAGTGCCTGGCTGTCACTTTTCACTCAAGACTAAGAGGAATTTTAAAGTGAGTTTTCATAAGAAGTTAGCATTGCCAAGAACTCATTCACTACATTAATAAACATCATGGGTGAGTTATGTGCTCTTTTGCTAATACTCAATTCATGGGCTAACTTGCCCCAGAAAAATTGACCAGGCAAAGCAAGTGGGACCCCCACCATCAAATATTTACATACGATTGTGAGTGACTGAAGCTCATTCTAAGTATGTTTTAGACATTCTAGAAGGCTGAAACTTGGTGCATAAGTAGCTTTTGGGATGCTGAAAAAATCTCATGTTTGGGCTATATCCCCTAAGGGCAATATTTTTATTGAAGGACTTTGTAAGACTTTTTCATTCCAGCAAAAAGTGCCAAGTATAGAAGCTACATTTTGGTATACAAATTGTTCTTGGGGTGTGCATTTCTGAGGAAATCCTACTTTTGGGTGTCCATCCCCTGAGAGTAGATTTTTTCCAGGGGGATATTTTCTAATACATTTTTTTGCTTCAGTGACTTGAGCTGATGTAGAAAGCTGGAACTTCGTACACAAACAGCTGTTGAGGTTCTAAATTCCGGAAAAATCATGCATACTTTAAGGTGAATCCCCTGGGGATAAAATTTTCTTAGGGGATTACTTTTTTCCTGAAACCTTTTCTCTCCAGTGAAACTTGCAGAGATGACAGCTAAGATCCATTTGACGAGTAGTTCTTGGGATGCTGATTTTATTGAAAAAAATCACCTTGGGGCACACTTTTCCTTGGGGGCCATTTTCCATCATATATTTTCACTCTGGCAGAAAAGCTTGAATGATAAAAAAAAATGAAATTCAGAAAGTAAGTAGCTCTTGGAGTGCGAATTTTCAGAAAAATGCTACTTCTGGGGTATATCCCAGGGGGCACTTTTTTCAGGTCAGTTTTTTTCCCAAAAATGTATTGCTCAGTGATATCAAATGATAAAGAAAGCAGAAATTGAATAACATGTAGTTCTAGGAATGATTATTTTAGGGAAAATCCTACAAGATGTGTATGGCACCCTGGGGTGCCATACACTTTTTCTTTTTCATGCCTCTTTTGAGGAGGGGGGGCAGGAATAATCCCAATATCTTTTAGCCTCAAAAAATGGTTCTCACAGCTATGCTGTAAAAAGTACTGTATGATCCATGAGGGACCTTTGGTGGGGAAGTTATGAATCTCCCTTCTTTTGGTGTTACTAGCCCCAAGTTGGCAGCAATGTCACACGACCTGAAATAACTTTGAATCACAAAGAAAAATGTATTAAATCCATGGAGTTATACCACTTTGAGAAGGTGCAATGGTGGATGAAGCAAACGATTTTATCTATTTATTTCCACTGTTGAGCACCAAAGGCATAGCCATTGCCAGCTTGTTGTCAGCGTGTTGTTGCCAGCAAAGTGCATGCAAAGTCACCAGTTTGTCCATATTGGTGGATAATTCAGGGTATGGCAAAAAGGACTTCTGACTTTCAGCCAAAATATCTCTGATCTTTCCAATGCTATTTTTATGAAACTTGCACATGCACACATTGGCTGAAAAGTACCCATCAGACTTGCAAATCTTTGTTAAAATAAATCAAGCCTAAGCTCAGGAGAAATTATTGAAAATAAGCATGAAAGTGGACAAGAGCTCAGGCATTTGAGCATATCTAGAGTCTACCTTGGCTTTCATTTATTCTGTGCTGGAAATGAATGTTTCCAAACTTCTGTTTCTCGGAAGCAAAGGAAAAAGCAAGTTATATGAGTATCTGAGAGGTTTAGTGATGATCTCAGTTAGCTGACAGTAAAAAGATCTGAAGGCTTCTCAGTGTGTAAAATACAATTCCATCAACTGGTTGCACATAAAACTTGTATTGTTGTAATAGTGGCTACCAGAGCACAAAAAAAATTTAATAAAAAATTCAAGACTACTGGCCATAATTTATTTGCCCTAAAACTGAAATGCATCATTATTATAGGAACATCAATGAGGGGGGTCCAACTTGGGGCAAGTGGGCACCACTGTCCAGTTTTCTAAATATATATCTGGGAATGTCAACTTAATAAAGGTGATATTTAGCAGAGGTATAGCAAAGTGAATGTTGATCTTGTTTGCCAAAGTTGATGACAATGCATTCATAATTGAATGCAAACTCACATTAAAGTGAATTAAACCCAATGATAATTGTACTATTGTAAAATGGGGCCCACTTACCCCAAGCAACTTTATAAGGAATGTACTGCTGGAATTCCTACTACCATACCTGAGAGAGGAGATCACCATGTTGGTAGCACGCACAACTGGCGTCTTATAAGCCGGTCGGGTCTCATCCACGAATGCCATGAAAGGGTTATGGGTGAGGACCACTGGTCTATGGTCTTTCAGGTACATGTCAAACCAGATTGGTGAGATGTAACTCGTTCCCTTGTTCCTCTTGTCACGAGATAAAATCTCCTTTTGCAGCTCTAAAATTTGTGAGATTCTCATTTCATGCTGACCAAAGAAGGCTTAGTGCCCAACAATAATATATTGTTGTTTGACCCTCTTGCAAAAAGTGCCTGACCTGACAGAGGTATGTCATATAATTGTTCTTGGAGCAGTGTAAACAAACTCAAGTAATTCACCTTAAGATTTGAGGACAGGAAAATGTGATTGATTCATTGGAAAGCATTGACTTTTTCAGGCACAAACTACAGGATGGGCCAGAAGTTAGGAAACAAGTTTGAACTCCTATAAAACCTTCATTGAAAAGCAACAGAACTTGGCAGTGATACACACAAAAGCACATGTTTATGAAGTATTTATAGCCATAAAACTTTTCACAAAAAATGCTCAATGTGTCTACTGTTCAAGTCTTTGCACAACTGCAGTCTTACTTGTAGTGTTAGGTAAACTCACTGGTGTAACTCCACTTGCAAGCTCAAGCTCTGCTTTGTGGCAGTGATAGTGTCCTTAAGAGCTGGAAGAGTCTGAGATTTCGTCACATGCACAGTGTCTGATTGAACCCCATAAAAAGAAATCAACTGAACTCAGAGATCATGCCGGTGAATCAATTGGCCCATGCCACCTGATCCACATACCCTGAAACATTTTACCCAAGAAGTTGTGAATGTGGCAAGAGTACTAGGCCAGAGCACCATCTTGAATGAAGATCGGAGACTGCTATCTTGAAAAGTTGAATGGAGAAATCATTCCTCCCAAGGCACTTCAAATGAATTGAGGAAATCTTAAGGCAAGAAGGTGCTCCAGCTCTTTATGCTAACTGGATGGTCTCTGGGCTGAACTCTGGCTGACTTCTTTTTATGGGATTCAAAGACACTGGGCATGTGATGAAATCTTGGACTCTTCCAGCACTTAAGGACACTATCACTGCCACAAAGTGGAGCTTGCCAGTGGAGTTATGCCAGCGAGTTTACCTACTTTTTCATACTTCTGGCCCACTCTATGCCAGCGAGTTTACCTACTTTTTCATACTTCTGGCCCACTCTGTATATATCATTTCTAGGTACTGAGAGGGTTAAAGAAGTGCCCATACTCTCCTTATAGTCAGTTTTACAAAACTCTCAACCTAATGATAACACTCTATATCACTGTAATGTCCAACTTATAATGTTTTGGACAAAAGAACATAACCTTACGAGGTCCAATGCCATGTAGAAATTCATTGACCAACTTCTCAGTCTCAGCATACAGCTTGTCATCAAGAAGGGGTTTCTGTGCAGCTAAGTATCGCTTCATGGTATCCTCCAGCTTCGGAATTGCAAGGTGGGGCAAGGACTTCTGGAAGTGCATGGTGGGAATCTTACTTCTCTGCAGATATTCCACATTCTGCTTCCTCAGATTTCCTGCACTTGTGCTATTGACCAGCATCATAAGTTATCAGAGGGTGTGCTTTCTTGGATGTACAATCCTTGTAATTTCATTTGGCATACCTGAAGGAAGCCAACGGAGCATGGAGGCTAAAGGAAGGGGACCATGCCCCTGCTCCACAGAATGCCACTCGTCTCATATTCTGCCTCTGAACACAAGGTCAAACTATGAAGAAAAACTAAAATAAATTTTAAAATGAGGAATGTGGCCATTAAGAGTACATTCACAAAACAGTGAGTCATACTCGCCAAAGAAAGGCACCACCAAGAAGGAATTAAGCAATCTTGATCAAATTTGGTACATAAGCTCACAAGCATTGTGTAACGAAATTGGAGTTTTAAGGGCATGGGATGAATATTCCCAGAAAAAACTAGTCAAAACATTCCAATTTAAATAATGGCAAGATATTGTACAAATAGCCAAATAAAGGATTTATTGACAAAATTCAGAAGGGAACTCTTTTAGCAGAGTTTCAAGGTCTTTGGATAAGGCAATGCAAATGAAGCTTGCCAAACATCCAAGGAATGGAGAAATGGGGCAGTGCCATTGATGGTGCCAGTTTCCTCTTGTTTTTTCCCTCTCAAACCATCTCACTATTGGGGCCATAAGTGAGTGTCTGTGAAGCCATGCCAAGATAAACTCTCTGAAGGCAATATCAACAAAGTTGTTCAAGTGTTTGATTGATGGAGTCTAACTGTGATGCACGTAACAGCATTACGTATCAGTCTAATCCATACATCAAGTTAATGCATTTTAAGTTTCCCAAATACTTAAATCTATAAAACACTCAAACAATTTGCTGAAATTGTACACCCTTGAAACTAATTGATTTCATTGTTACTTGCTTATGCACCAAATTTCATGACTGCTCAATTCCTTTTTGGTGGTGCTATTTTTTTTTGTTGACAATGAGTGTATATTACAAGGGAATGAGACAATATAAATACATTAGTAGATAATAGACTCAGCACATAAAGAGTAACAGCATTGTCAAGCCATTAAACAAACTGAGAAACATGTGGTACATTTTGAAGATAGGCCAGGTAGCTACAAAGAAGGCAGTAGCACCTGGGGCATCTGCCCTCCTTGAGCCTTACTGCATCACCTTGTCCTAACACATTGGCTGTCAAGTGCATCACTGGTGATACATTTTCCATGTTAAAAATTCTGTTTGGCAACCGATGTGTTAAAAAAAAAGGAAACGACTGAAATAGATATCTTGAGGATTTCAATACGAAAAATGAATGCAAGACCCATTGCAGGAGTTCCAAGATGGCTGGTATGATGTTTGGGTGTTGGCTGATGAACCAGAGCCAGTCCTTCTCCTTTACTTAAGAATTAATTTCCATGCTGCTCAAATAACTGCCAAAATAAAAATTCAAATAGGGCAAGCAGAATGAATGAAGTGAAGAATTCCCACAGATATGAACATCACAGGTTCATACTGATAATAACACAGAACATTTGACTCAACTGTTGATTCCTCCACATAAATCACATGCATATTAATGTAACTGAGGTTAAAATATTTCACAGAAATTTCTCCATGACTTTGATTCAAGAATCAAGGACTTGGAAATGTTCTCAGCTAGCATCCATGCCAAAATGCCAATTCAATTCAAGTTTCCATCTCACCAAACACATCTAAGTGTGTTGACAGTAATTGCTAAGATTTGATGATGGATATTTGCTGGAATCAATGGGAGCTATTTTGATATTCACTGTTTTAAAAAAATCCCCTAAGGTAAAATTTCAATGAAGTCTGGTCTGAAGGTCTAGATGACCACATGCCAGGATTAATGATGCAGTCACCAAAAAATGTCGGTATTTGTTGAATTGTAGCATTTGCAATATGGGCCATGAGATTATCTATTGGAAACAAGCCAACTGTTACCTCTTTCTCTGTTGGTGCTTGTTAGCACACACTAGTAGCTCGCCTTTAGCTCACAATGCATTTTTCATAGAACTGCTTTAAAGAAATAGGCTACTAAAGTTCAATTCCTAGAAATGGCTACCCATTATAAAAGCTTTTGGACATGAAGTGGTAACTCATGGTATTTTTGTGGCTCTTCCAAAGCCCATATGCAACTGATCTGACTATTGACATATCCACTTGAGCAGTAACATGTTCCATTAGCATTAGTATAAAAACAGTAGTCCAGGAACATATAGTCAGGTTTTTTAAGAACCTCTGTGATCATTCACAATGGTGAAGGCAATCCTGGTAATATTGTGGCAGCTATTCATGCACCACAAATGCAGTGTGGATAAATCTTCAGTAGCCTCTGTGCAAATCAGAACGTTGTTGTTGACAATCCACATTGTTACCTAAACTCTCGGAGATTTCTTGAGACTTGGAATCATTGCAGTCTAAAGGTAAATTCCCTTTTCCTCATCCACAATTGAAGCTCATTCAGTATGTTTCCCTTCTGTAAGATGTCAGGAGTCACAGAACTTGTCAGCCAAATATATAAACTTAGAATAACTACAGACTGCATTATGGAATTCTTGTGCTAAAGAATTCTTTGTATCCAGAAAGTGCCAGTTTTAAAGTAATGCTCCACAAGAACAATACATCTGGGAATGGTGAATCTTCAAGTCATAACTTTTTTACTTCCAGGTCTTTTAGCAGCTCAACTTCTTATGCTAACAAAATAAATGAAGAAAACTCAGAAGAGATCTCACAGACATGACTATTGAAATATGCTGTGCTATGTCCTTGTTAAAGAGAAGGTGCTCCACTTCAAAGTAGTGATGGACACACCTGGCTGCAGAATCCTACAATTCACCAGCTCTGTGAATCTACACTTAAAGGAAGCTACCTAAATGTACAAAAAAATTGCATCTATCTCTGCTCATTTAGGTTTAATTTTTACATCAAATTAAATTATTATTAAATTATATATATATATATATAATAAACAGGACATTTGGTGAACATACAAAACAATAGACATAACAATATACAGAGATGATGGGGAATGCCCACTCAGCACAGTCAACACACCCTACTCACAGTCCTTAGCGTTTATCCAAATTTCATGGTACAGTGTATCAACTTGGAATCTGGGGTGCTAAGTGCACGAATCAGAACTTCTTCATGAGATAAAGTGACCAAGGCTTCTGTCATAATTGCTCTGTGTATTCCTGATGGTATGCTTTGTCAGATATAAAAGAGGGTGAGAGAACTCTATCCAGCTTCATCACAAAGACAGTCCAGAGGAAGAACAATTGATGACTCAAGACGCTCCCCCTGCTCCTTCTCCTCCAGTGCCTCCTCCACCTCCACCCATCTGACGACGCAGCCTCTCCACCAGTTCAGGGTGTGTTGCCTGCATTTGTTGTGCCAGTTGTTGCCCTCTACACACACATACATGCACATATGCAAAAAAATTCATACATGAGTCTTACTCAAAATCAGAAATTGGTATGGGTATATCTAACTTCATATACATTTAATTTAGAATTTTCTCAGGGAATTTCTTTCATGGTACCAGCACACAATAATAAAATTGCATAATCTTATCATTAGCAGTGCTTGTAGTTGGATTTACTGAAATCAGAAGCAAAAAATCTATGGTTTTCTGTGAATGGACATAGGACATATGTTTTCCCCCTCACCCCCCCCCCCAAAAAAAAAGCTCCAGAATCTTATTGTTTTGTTGAGAGCTTGAAAAAACAGCATACAACACCATTATTAATTCAGATACTTTACTTTCTATTTGCATTCAGAAAAAGTATAGGTTGCTCAGTGGATACTGACTCAAATTGTGTCTTCTTATTTGTAGCTGTTGTTCTCTTTACTTATTTCATACTGCGCTCTATGCTTCATAGTCATGCCTTCGAAAATCCTAATATGAAGAATCTCACTTCATATTTTGGCTAGTGAAACACCAACTTGACAAAAATACGTGTTTAAAAAAAGGAGTTAATTATGATACTGATTCTAATCACATAGGGAATGACAGGGTATATACCAGCTGCAACTCAGCTCAGTCTTAGACTTCATATATACAGGGGATTCTGCTTTAATGAGACACCTTGGTTCCAGGTCAATTTGCCCCAATAATGCAAACATAGCTTCCATTGCCACAACAATTCTAAACCAGCTGCCCGCATTAACTGATGGCTCAATAAAGTGGAATCCACTGTACAGGTTGGGCCAGCAGTAAGGAAACATGTTTCAACTCCTACTATTGCTGCTACAAAGTGGAGCTTCCCAGTGGAGTCATGTCAGCAAGTTTGCCTATCACCACCAGTAAGACTGCAGTTGTTCAAAGACTTGAACAGAGGACACATTGAGCAGTTTGTGTGAAATGCTTTGTGGCTATAAGTACTTCATAAACATGTGCTTTTGTGTGTATCGCTGCCAGGTTCCATTGCTTTTGAATAAAAGTTTTGTAGGAGTTCAAACGTGTTTCCTTATTTCTGACCCACTCTGTATATCCTTTACCCTACAGCCTATATCCAGCCACAATTTTACTCCTAAACCCACATTCTTCCCATTATTTTTCAGATTGACAAAAATTTTTAAATAGCAAAGTCTACCATAAAACAAATTCAAGGCTTTTCTTCATGTTTTAGATAGAACTTTTATTAGCTCAGTTGCAGGGTTGGACCAACCAACATGCAAAATGTCATTACTCAATGTTTTACAGCTTAGAATTTTTTAAACATATAGCCCTCTATGAGGGTGAAACCATACTTTCTATGTAAGCATAGTGAGGGACAAAGCAGAACTGTGACTGACTGAAATTCTTGTGAAATTGTGATTTATGCAACAAGTTGGAGACACGGCTGTTTAAATGACTTTTAGTGTGTGGACAGTTCCAGAATAGTTAAGACAAAAGTGGTAAAAAAATCTATATACAAAACTCTCATCCAACTTATGTTTCCTACATTGAATGGGTACTAAACTTGGACCAAATAAGCTCCATTAAACATTCATCAACCAAAGAAGGATGCTTTTTCAATGCTCCTGCACCATTCCATTTGAATGAATTTAACAATTGCTTGGTGAATCTAGCTTTTTGACTAATATGTTACATCAGTAACGCTGGAAAACTCTTCTAGCCAATTAATTTTTGAGCATTAAGTCATTTGGCATGAAGTAAGGTGATGGTCTTTGCCCTATTTTTTGAAAATATGGAAGCTTCAGGTCAAGCCAAATCAGACAAAATTGGAAAGAAAGCAGCAGAACAAAAACCGTTGTCTAAACTGTGTTACGTCAGTAACATGACTTGAATGGCCTTCCTTTTTTTCATCCATGGGAGAAATGATAAAATGTTCACTAAAATAGGTACAGGTTCTATACAGCACTGCTGAAATAGAATTTCTGGACTAAACCATCTTTAAGATATAACATCATACATGATTTCATTTTGAGTCTGGTGTTATGTCAGTAACTTTGGAACTGCCTGTATACAGACATGTTTTCAACTTTTATTTCTTATTTTTTAAATTCTTTTTCAACATGCTTCAGCAATATGTTATTATATCCATACATAAATATCACTTTAAAACTTTTTTTCTCATGGATAGGCTTTCTAACATGGTCACCTTTCTGGCAATTGACCATCACCTGTCCCATCCCATACAAAAAAATTTAGAGAGATGAGTGATGAGCTTATAGGATTTGTGCTTTGTGTTTCCGTACTTCTGTCTGTGACAATCCAACAAAGTTGGGAATTAGTAAATATATGATTTTTTCATGGGACTTAGTTGCTACAGCAGACACTTAGTTTCCCCCTTTGAGTGAAATGTGACATCTTGAGCAAAATGAGGACATAAAAGGTCAACATATAGAAATTTTATGCAATAAGCAAGGGAGGAGGCAGTTTGGAAGAATTTGCATGCAACATAACAATGACACGGTTTGCAGTTGTTCTTGGAAAGAGCCATAGACTAGAAAATAGGGCTGCAGTCATTTCAAAGAAGAACCTACACTTGATGCCATGAAAGCAGACAGTTTAGAAGTGAAGACAGTGGATTTGGTATGAAAACAGGCTTGAATGAGATGACCCAGCAAACTCCTGAAGGTTTACATGAATGTACACTTGGTGGTTAAAGTGCAATATTTGAAGTGCATCATGCTGAAATGGTGGCTCCCATTACAACAAAGAACAGCCTGTTCCTCATCCATTTTTATAGGACATAAAAGACATTGACCATTTGTGAAACAAAGACATTGCCATTAACTATGACAGAATGTCATTGGAATTCTCTCTGAAATTATCTTCAGATTGATTTCAATGATCAAAGACAACAAAAGTAAGGGAAAACCCATTCGTTGTTTTGTTTTTTTTTTTTTTTCGTCAAACGATTTATTATTATTTAGTTATTTTGCGAGTAGGAACTCTTCCTCAATTGCGTCAGTTGAGAACTCGGTTGCCGGTAATCCCCTATCTGTTTGCATGCTGAAGAGAAGATTCACACAGTCGTGGGCAGTCTCAGGAATGGAAGAGCTATTGTTGGCATTCGCTGTGCCCTTTCCTTTCCCCTTTTTTTTCTTTCTCTAATAAGAGGCGCATCCTTCGCATACTTAAGACCCGGATCTCTCCGAGCACGAATTTCTCCAACCGTTTGACGTAGTTATGCAGATCATTTCAAATATCCCTCGGCTTTCATATTTTGTCTGGGTGAAGTTGACCTACAAGGCTTGTCGCATTAATGAACGAGGAAACCTTAGAGACCTCTAGAGTAATTGGGTGGATTTTTGAACAGAGAACTATCCGATAATGCAACTTTATTCCAGGGCATTCCAGGCATGATATATCTTGGAAATAAAGCAGCTTTATTTTCATGAAAATAAAGTTGACTTATCGTTTAGTGCTCGGTTCAAAAATACACTCATAGTTACTATGGTACAACTGAACCGAAGGCTTTAAAAAAAAATTTCTTTAATGTCGAAAATGCGCAATAGTGCATGGTATGGTGGATGGAAACGGTTGCCAGAGTCGTTGCTATTTTACTTGATCTTCGGGAAAGGTTTTTTTTTTTTTTTCATTCATCCCCTGGGGCTGGAGCGTTCTCCGGCCTAACGAGGAGGGATAATAGTCTCTTTGTTGAAAGGCCGCTCGGCCTCAAATTGGGATGTCAAGCTTCGAGGGTGTCCCTTTTCAGACCTCCCAAACCGCTCGAAATACCCACACGTTAATGACACCCTCAGCCGTGATTGCAGGGCGGGGGAAGGATGGAGGATTTATCAGGCGGCTCCGTTTTTTTGTTTGCACAGGTCGTAATGGGGTGGGAGACGGATGGATTCCTCGAATCACACGGTTCGTGTGTGGGCTTTATAGTTTCTTCTGAGATGCCCCCGAGCCGCGTGTCCCCAAATGTTGAGACTTCTTTGCTCCTCCGCGTTGTCATTATCATCGCCCGTGCCGCCGGAATTCCTTCCACGGAGACCTGATTCAGTTTTATCATCTTAACCCGAGGCACAGCTCATCGTGCTGGAAAAAAACTATTCTGCGGTGCACTTGCACCCGTCATAACGTTTGCTAGGAAACGAGGTCCATCCCATGTTAACAAGCGTAGTATGTCCAATTTGCACTTTCACCGAAAGTCCGTATTACATGAAAGTCAGTGGTAAAACAAAGTCTCTCCGTAGTGATTTTTGTATCTTGATAACCTTCAAAGGTGCAGGATGCATAAATTCTTAACCGTGTATTTTTTTTTCCAGGAATATTTACTTTATTCTTAGCGATCCTTCCGCTTTGCTTGCAAGAATCGTTGAGCGCCAAAGAGTTCTTCCCAAAATAATATCTCTCATTCATTCCGGCTGGCGTCCGAGCTCACGAGGGAACCCAAATATTGGCGAACAACTCGCATATCTTGTCTCCGAGTCGGACTAGCTTTACTCGTTGCAATTCCTTCCTGATAATTGAGAATACTTAATTGTGGGTATGAAGAAATAAGATGTCCTCAATTCACTCCGAGAATGTCAATTTCGATTGCTGATCTCCAAGTAATGGCAGTACTGAATAGTGCTTTCATTAAAAATGGTGTTCGTAAAGCTTAGTGAAAATCGTACCATGCAGAAGGAAACCGGAGTCATTGAGCATTCTGGCACTTATCAGAGCGACCGAGGGAACAAAAGAGAGCAAAAGCAAATAAGAGTCTAAAAAAAAAGTTAATTGGACTCCTTTCGTCTTCTTTCCTTTCTCGTATCGCCACCCCCTCCCCCTAGCCCGTTAGTCTGGTCTTGGTGGTATTTCTCCACTGGGATTAACTTGTTTACTTGGCAGCCCTGCAGTCTCATAATAGAAGCAAGCAACTGTTTTTGCTGTTGGAATCTTGTTGGCGGGAGTCAGAATTTCAGATTTTCTTTGAGACGTGTGGTCCTCGTGAAACTTGAATGGGAAATTTGGTTTGGGTTCCCGGAATGCAAATGCATTTTTCATGGCTTGCCATTTTTTTGAATTGGTGATATCGTCTCTGCAGATCGTCTTTAGTCTAGATGTAATGACTGAATCGATGTTGAACACCAATGTTGACTGGCGGTTTTACCCCCCTCCCCGGAGTCTTGTTTCTTTCTTTTGGACAAGCGAAATCCGCACGTGTGTCGACCGGTTTTGAGCCTAATTACCATCATATGTTAGATGTAGACAACTTATGATGAACATGGATATCCGAAAACCTTATAATGGTTCCAGACGCCATTAGAAAAAGTTACTCTTGTTGAAATGCTAAAAATGAGATGAATACGAGAATTGCTTTGACTGGAATGAAATTCGTAGCCACACGGATCAACTTAAGAATTTTATTATAATTTTTTTTTTGCTTTTGTTGCGGCAGAGAGACGAATTCGCCCAGGCGGTGAAACTGACGCACCGAGAGCGGCGGTTCATCAACTTCGCCTCCGTCGAGTATGCGGGGCAGCTCTACATGACCCCCCAGGATTTCCTCGATTCCGTCACGGAAGCCGAGCCCAGACGTAATGAAGGTTCTTCGATCGGTCGCGTTTCCCACTCGGGGGGAATGATGTCGACCGGGTCGTTCGTATTCCAGCAAGGGTGAGGCGGCGGGTGCTCACCATGGAGGAGATCGAGGAGATGAGAGTCGCGACTCCTTCGTTGAGACATAGCAACACTCGGTTCTTCCGCACCGTCTGCTCAAAAGGTGAGACCGGAACTCGCAGTCTCATGAATAATCTTTGATAAAAAGCAATGTTTTATTTTAAATCAATGGTCCATGACAAAAGATTTTATTCTACTTTTCCATCTGAACGTGAAACTGCTTCGGGAACAGTAGCATTATCTTAGCGGCGGTGGGAGGAGAGGAAGGGGGGGGGGGGATGGGGGTTAGCTCCCAACTTTGCTTCCGCCCCCGATTCTAGTGTAATCGCCAGCATACCGAGAAACGTCCGGTTTCCGAACATAGGTCTACAGTGGGCGTGTTTGACAAGTCAGTCATCTTCACAGATATCTATTGTGACGCCACGGTGACGCCAACCGGATTCTGACCGTTTCGCAAAAGCTACCTTCTGATTCATGCTGAATCATGCAAGGCGGATGTACGAAGTGGCTGTAGGTCATCCCCATCGTGCCAATTCTGAAAGAATGCAAATTATTTCAGAACTGGTATGGATCCCAGAAATTCAACAAGGGTTGTTCGCAGTGCTTCAGCACATACTGTTTCTTCACTCCCACTCGCCGCCATTTTGAATCTGTCGATCCAGACTAGTCGGGGGAGTCTGGCCGATTTGGACGGTAAACAGATGATCCGATCATTCCCAAACGGATTCCAAACCAGACCGTCTAGCCCCAGAAGTGTAATAACCGAACGCTAAAGAAATTGGCGTCCAACCAAAAGGGGGAACGATTATTTCGCAATTCCTGGCTAGGCCACTGCTCACGAAGGTCACGTTCTGCAGTTTAGTAAAGGTTAGTATTTATTTCATGACTAAATATTATTGATTCTGTCATTAAGAAGTAATGATTCATCACCAATTTTATTATTTGGTCACTCAATGAATTTGCATCACCAAATTCTTATTACCGTCACCAAATGATTTCATCACCAGACCTAATGAATCTTACCCTCAGTATTTCCCCTTACCCTCAGTAATTCACCCTCAGTATTTCCGCCAGATGCCATGAAATGACCACCAAATTTTATTGAGTTAGCACCAAATCACTGTCACATTTCATGTGTCAAAAGAAATACAATTTTCTGTTAGCGGGATTGCAGAGTAGAGGACACTGACTATCCCGGCTGTGAATTAGCGTTCCTAAGGAATGTTTGGAAATGCCAGTCTTGATCCAAACACGGCAGATGCACTCAAAATTTGGAGCTCTCACAACTCAGAGGGAGAGTCTTATTCTCTTTAAGTTCTCCCAAAGCTCCGGTTTTCTGATTGGATATTCTTGTGCACTTTTCCGAATCCTTGTGGCGTTGCCGTCACTGCAGGCAATGAAGGCGTCTCCTTGTTTCAATGTCCTCAAACTGTTGTCATGGCACCTCTAATGCGTAGAGCACACCACACAGGCGCTGGAAGTCAGCGCCGTACCGAACTCCCATACATCTACACAAGCGAAAGGAGTCTAGTCAGGTCCTCCGCCGAAGGTTCCCTCAAGCATATGATCTTACAATATCATCTTGCCATCACGAGTCCAACCGGAAATAAAGTAAAATATTTTCCTTGATAGGATTGCAAATGGCGAAAATGACATAAGTTTGATGATGAGAGCAATTTTTTGGTGCGGGCTAGTGCAAATTTGGTGATACCAGCACTCGTGACGATGCCATCATGTTTGGTGAAATAAAAAATTAGAATTTGGTGACTGATTCCAATTTGGTGAAGATTCATTGTGATCTGGTGAGGGTCAATATTTCTGCGGGCTGAAAATATTGGGTGACAAGTTCATTATTATTGGTGGGTGATTAAATATCTATCTGTTTTTTTTTTTTATTTCACCAGGGATCATCTCGTACACGGAGTACCTTTTCCTTCTTTCCATTCTCACGAGTGAGTTCACTTCCTGTCTCCATAGAAAACGTTTCATTTAAATACACTCAAAAACGACACTGGGTGCAACGGTGGTCGCTGTGGGGGCCTCAGGTGTGGTTGCCCGTCGCCGTCGTCGTCGTCCCAGGTGTCACGGTCCCAGGCGTCACGGTCCCAGGCATCACGGATGCCACTTTGAACTGGACGAGGACGATCATATAGGTCAGGATGGCCCCGGTCGTCTGCAATCGGGTCGATTAAGAATCGGCTGTCAGTTGTCTATTCAGACGAGGTGATTTAATTGTCTCTGAGACAGTCTCGGGTGAAGTGTGGATTGAGACGAGAAATATCAAAGACGGCTTAATAATTACTTCTCAGAAGGCCAATGAATGGAAATGCGAGGGAAGGGAACGCGTGCACACGCTGCTACCGATTGTTTGTGTTTTTACAGGCTACTCTCAAGGTACAGGAGTGATGACAGGGATATTGCAGTCTTTTTCCTTGACAAAGGCCAGGTGTATTACGGAGCTCCAAGATTGCGACGTATTCTTCGTCGCGTGTCTGTCTTGTCTGGTGTGTCTGTTTTGCACGGTCAGTTGCAGAATGGCGAGGGCGCAGATTTTGGCGAGATTTTGCCACTGGAACAGGCGTGTCCTTTGTCTGCCTTTTTCTTAACGCGACTTTCAAAGTCACCTAACCGGTCCGAAATGTGCGCCTTGATCCAATGGGTGGAGCTCAAAGGTCAAGACAACGACATATTGATATGTTGAAATATTTGGGGTTAGTTCAAGAGAGCGCTCCTCTTCGTCTATAGCTATCAACTCTTGCTTGCTAAGACGATCCAAAGATTTCAAGAAGATCCGGTTAAACTCATCCTTCTCTGTTAATTTTGTTTCAATGTGACACCAGTGCCATGCTAGATATTAAAGCTTGGAAACGCCAGGGTGTAAAACAAGGAGTCTGCTTCTCGAATCTAAGGACAAACTATACAAAGAGACTATTAACGTAACTTAAACGCCTTGTGGCAACGACTAGCAACCCGAAGGGGATATACCATGTTATATTTCTGTGAAAACTACCGATCGATTTCGAGGTCTCCATTTAACCGGGCCCGTACGACCATGAACATGATTGCGTGAGAGAGAATACCGGATTTCCCCGAATCCGAGGGAAGATCCAAGGTCCCTTCCCCTCAGTAGGTGACCGAGGTGCCTGCACCCCTGTCAGCCACGAAGACGCAGGTTGAGAACCGCTGGTCAACAGCGGTTGACTGGGCTTAATCTGGACGCATTTTCTATGGCTGCCTGTGGCATTCATCGACCGGGAAGACGCGAATCTCTTTAGCGCGCTTCACTTTTTAGTCCCTTGAGTAAACACGACCCGCTGTGGTGAATTCCTATGGGGGGTAATGAATAACCTGGGTCAAAAATAATCCTGGCTTAGGCATTATAATTCAAAGGGCTTATCGGAGCTTTTGACTTTTAATCCATGTTCTTGCAATAATGCCATACATCGGAAGCAACAGGCTCAGTGGGAAAAAATGAGGGGGAGAGATTCCTGAATTCGTGCGCATCACCTGTACGTTTCGAGATTTATGAATCACTCTATCAGGGATAATAATTGCTTTGCCAAGGCGTGGAAAATTACGAATTTTCTTGCGTTCTGTTCAACTCGAGATGCTCGTAGAAAGCTCAGCAGAATTAAGCATTTTACTTTATGTAACTATGACGTACTTATGCTGTATATTATTTAGAAGCGAAATGATGGAATCTCTTAGGTAATATTCGCAATGTAACTAATAAAGACTGTATTAGTTAATGAATGCAAAGAAACATAATCCTAAACAAGTACGTTTAGATCGTCAGCAAATAATGACTCTTTCAGAGACTATGCCTTGGTTTCAGTAGCACCCAACTTATACAATAATTACCAGAGATGAGCACTTAGGTATTCAACTAGTCAAAAAAACGCATACGTCAATTGGAAAATAACTTTCTATTTTGAATAGTCTTTTAGAGATAATTTATACTGAAAAATAAATTAAATCTATACGTCCCAAAGGCACAGGCCTACCCGTCATGAGGTGCAATAGAGTTTGTTGATACAGTAATGGGGTAGACATAAACAAATGTATTGGAAATATAAATCGAAATTTGAGTAGTATTTGCATTTTCCATTTTGGCCTAATTTTGGGAAATCATTATATTTAAACATATGAACATATTTATGTTTTAAATGCTATTTTTAAGGCACTATTTTCGCCGTCGCAGTCAACCATGACAATTTTGCTCATCGCTGCTAATTAACCGACAGAGAAATGATTGACTCACGGAGACGAGGAGGCCCCTGTTGAGGGAGAAGAATCGACCGGCCGTAGGGGTCAGAGGTCGGCTCAACAGGTGCTGCGAGAACACCAGCACCTGGGGCAAATGCCAAATGGGGGGAATTGAAAAATAAACAGCCTTCATCCTTCATCCATCTCCGCGTTACATTGTTCAGGCCTCCGTCTGTGTATACAGTCTGGCACCACGCCACTCCTTCCCTGTCATAACTCGCAATTTGCGCTCGATTTCGGGCCCCTGGGTCTCTTGCCGTTTCCCCATTCTTATGCAATCGTGCGTAAAATTATACTCTTTTGGATTAATTTTCAAATATTTAGCAGCAGCGCGGAGACTTCAAGAAGGGTGTGAGGATTGAAGGTTTGGAGGCATATTAAAAATGTATTATGAGTCCCGCGCTAAGGTCAAATTTTCAGATGCGGCAAGGTCGCCAAATTGTTGTTGCAATTTGCCTGCGACATGTTTCCCCTCTCCTGTAGGGAATTTTGGTCTTGGTGCTCACCTGCTGTTGAACAGATGGAGTAGCCCTTGCGAAACGGGAATCGTGCACAGTTGATGACAAGGCGTCAACCTAAATAGAAAAGGATAGAAAATGTCAATCACAGGTATCACAGGTATTTGCTTTGATTGCGAGATTATCCAGAGTGGAGAGTGACCTCTCTCTCGAGGGCATCCCCGGCGTGGCAGACCCAGACGAACTTGGTGAGGTGGGCGAAGGCGATTGTGAGGTCCATCGCGTACAGCGTGATTTGTCCGGCGTCGAAGCTGAAGTCGTCTGCGGGGGAAATATTGTATAATAAAACTCGTGCATTAAAAAAATACGAGGGGATACGCACTGGTGATACTGTCAGAGATAGCGAAGTAGAAGCAGGAGACGATGGCGATGCAGTCGAAGGCGAGGCAGCAGACGAGCTGCGTCCCGACCACGTCGTGGAACAGGTCGAAGACCTTGCAGATCTCTTGGAAGGCCAAGCGGGCGCCCTCGACCCTCTCGGCCCCATACGCGTCATCCACTCCCTTTCCCCTCTCGGGCGCTGGGGTGAAAATGGGAATAAGCGTACAAAATCTATGCGAAACTGGCCCAGTGGGGGATCGAGTGTTGCCGAGACCTGGGGAGAGCTTGGTAGGACCTGCCACAGCCTGTTGGATCTTCCAGGCCCACTTGCCCTCGAGCGCGAGGGTGATAGCCCTGCCAGTCTCCCTTCGGAGGTTCTGGACCTGATTCGCAGCAGCATATATGAAGTAGTTGCAGTGGATCTGGGTGCCGTGAAGCGCCCAGATCCCCATGTAGAACCCAAACATGTAGGCAACCATCAGGGCGAGCTTCCATGACTCCTGCTGAGCCTGTTTCATCGACTCGTACGTTTTCACCATCTGTATTCCGTATCCCACTGTCAGAATGACCAGAAGGAAATAGCCCTTGGCCATCACGTTTCCGTGGCTCTTGCTGCGCATGGAGGGAAAAAAAAGCAGAACGTGTATGTCGTCGTTAAGTCTTGCAAGTAGCCTTATGCTGTCGTTTTTTTTTATAAAAAATTAAATCAACCTAAATATTGTTTGCACGTACTCCGGGACAACTTATTGTTTTGTATTTGCAAATGCCATACGGAAAGGAGACAATGAACCATCCTCCACGGACTGAGGCATCGGATCATAGAACGTTTGGGTAAAACTTCTTGGAAGACAGAATAATTTTTAATTTTCATGGCTAAATCCATTCGAGAGTCTTTTCTTCGACGATGGTCGTGGTCTCACCTGACGTAAAGCCGAGCCGGGCCGGTCTCGAGTTTCCCCCACGCGGCGCCGAGGGAAGGAGCCTTGAAGAGCCAGAGGCCCACGGTGATGTAGATGAGGGACGCGTGAGCCACGGTCAGTATCTGTAAGGTGAGCTGGTCCGTGTTGGCCAGGGCCAGGCTCCCCGCCCCACCCAGCATGACCAGGTGGGCCACGTTGACGGCGAACAGGGGTGCCCACAGTCCCAGGCTGTACGCGAGTTGCCAAAAGGCGACGTGGCACCCCGTCCGCTCAGACCAAGGGATGAGGCCGCAGACGACAAACGGCCATTTGATCCACCTATTCATGGGTGACGTGGAGATGACGCTTTTTGAGTGGTGGGAGCACCCATTTATTCCATATTAGAAGCCTGTTTGCGCACTTTTTTCGCCAGTACACCTAGTAAAACCGAATTTAAGCATTGGAATTCGAAGGTGGAGCTTCGGAAGTGCACGCATTTTAAAGTAATGGAATGTGGTAAACTATTAGCAAAGTTTCCCCTTGGCCAGATTCCAGCCCAGTGTTAGAGTTGGAATTCCTGAAAGGTATACTCTGTGATCCGCTTCTCTCCGTGATTGATCGAGGTCTGGCCAAAATAGAAACCTTGGGAAAGGTTTTCTCCATTTCTCCGGGCTTAATTGTACAGGCTGGACACGAAGTAAAAGAATGTTCACTCCTATTCCACTCCTATGATCTGAGTTCCCACCGTTGTGGAATCCAATGTGCATTTTTGCGACACAAATCGGCATAGCCAGAACTCTTCATTCTTGCTTTCAGAGGATTCGTATCGGCGAGAGACTTAATATTGAGCCAGTGTCTGGGGAAGGAGCATCGCCATTCGTATTATTTGATACCACAAAGTATTTGATACCACAAAGATAACATAAAGTGTTCCTTGAGTCCCTTGACATCCCTCCCCCCCTTTTTTTTTCTTGTTTCAGGTGAATTATGGTTAGGATTTGTGTAGATATGAGTCACCGAGGCCCTTTTACGCTGGAAGAGCGTATTCTGATGAGTTTTTGGGTGCATTAACGCCAACAAAGTGGAAAAAAACTTGACACATTTATTTGCGGACTTCCGAGCCCGATTTGGCAAAAATCATCTACTAAATGTCTCGTCGCACCTGGTGCCTCATCGTTCTGGGTTCAAAAAACGATGGCGCCCATATTGATCCCCTTGATCTCCAAATGGCATGTGTTTTATTTTCCTGCCACTATTCTTCGCTATTATTCACAAGAAAGAAAGGGGAGTGTCAAGGGAAGACCCTGTAATTCAGCGAGAATCGGTTTAGCATTTCACACTCTGGAACACTGCATAAATTCGATCAACGCTTCGAAGTTGCCCACATTTTTTGTGCTTAAGACTCTCAAAAAATGTATCCCTTTGGTGAGACAAGTTGTCATCTCGGTTCCGCACTTGTAACTCTAGATCACACTGCTAGTTATTGCCGTTAAATGTATTTTAGTTATCTTTTTTCAGTACGAGTTCAGTCTCCCGAAGTAAACACCTTTGTAGCAAAGGTGTCCTGCCTCTGATGAGTTCGGTACTTCACTGAAAATACTTGGTACGTCCAGTACCGATGCTAATTGTCAATGCTTGTGATTGGCAGCGATCCCACTCCTTCCAGGAATCAAGTTCATTGATTCTTATTCTTTATTATCCTTAAAGGATATGCTTTCTTTTGCCCCTGAGTGAGCCCTACGTTGGGCCGCCAGAACTGGGAATATCAATAAGAAAAGGCATTTTCCCGACCACCTTCCTTCACATAGATACGACTCTATTGTGAGGTTTTTACAATCCTTCCTGATCCAGTACATGCGAAGTTTTTACAAGGAAAAGAGAAACCCCCTCTCCCACCCCCTTCTGGGTGCCATCAACGCAGCGCAAACGCTCGAATCCTTCCAGAAACTACAGTCTGCATTATCTTTCGGGGGGCTTCAGGACAGAACGGAAGAAAAGGGGAAGCAGGGCCGACCAGAACGGAAGAAAAGGGGAAGCAGGGCCGACCTGTAAGTGACTTGCAGCGACTGGATGCCTTCCATACGAGTAGCTCTCTCACCGCCTCCCGTGTATCACGTCAGCGTTTCCGCATTCGAGTGATTCCCCCCGTCCGAAGCCCGTGGGATTGCGTGAATAATGAAGGGGGGAAGGTCGATCTGCCCTTGCATTTTTGAAGGGCCACACGCATCATAGCGCTGGAATCTACGAGAGCATGGGTGCTACGGACGCTCCTTTGAAATGATTCCTTTCTATTGATCACGTCACCATGTCATTACCCTACAGGAAGGGCACGCTCTGCTTTTACGCATTGCCTTCAGCATGGATAAAAGATGAATCGATGGAAACCAAGACGCCATCTTGAACTGAGAATGTCCGCAACTCGCATGGAATTGCGTTTGAAAGTTTCAGCCAATTTAAGTTTCAGTCATCTACTCATGAGGATAGTAAAACTGAAATGAATATTCATTTTGAGCATATAAATGAATAATATGTAAAATGTTTTAAAAAGTTGTTAGTATGTTACACGAGACTAACACGCCTTGGAAAAATGTGTGTCCCTCGTAGAGCCGGCGTCAGGATTCCAGATTGCCTTCAACATGTTCGACACCGACGGAAACAAGAGAGTGGACATGCCCGAATTCCTCGTGGTAAGTGCAACAGAATCACGTATTCAAATATTTACATACCTGATATCATGTTTAAAAAAAATTTTTAATGGAATTTAAAAAAAGAAACTTTTATAGGGCTAAGAAGAGAGAAACATTGTCCATCTGGAGACTTCACCATGTCTAATGCCCGGGGTACCGCTCCTAGTGTACGCGTTTCAGCGTGAAGCGAGTCCCGCCGTTGTATACGCGATCGTAATGACATGTTTCTCGGCCCGAATAGGCAACAGGATTGTGTTCGGTCGGCCCCGCTCATTACCGCGTGGATGGCCCAATATGGGGGCCACGTGGCACATCCACGGGAGGCTTTGTAATGTCTCTGAGTGTGTAATGCCTGTTTATATCCCATCCACGGTGCATTCTAACGATTCCCCTCACCCTTGGACTTCCTACGTCCGATGATACACACGTCTCCGGTCCGTTCATCCGTCACGGCTCAGACTTCCGTTATATTCGTTGCTAGACGCGCAGAAATGACTTGTTTACAGGCTGCGGAGGCCCTAATCCCCGAAGCATCTTGCTCTTTGTCATGTATGGAGCCCCGTCAGATGAAGCTAGATTTCTCCATCTTAATATGGAATCTTCGGCCTTTTTGTGCTTTTGACTTTTTTTTTTAATTCTCTCATGCGTGAAAGAGGTCAGCATAAAAGGTCGGCGGTTGCGGTTGTTGCCATTCGGAGGCCAACGGGTTCATCGGGAACCCCAGGCCCTCGAACAAGAATACGGTATAGGATTTCTGTAAATTGATCCCCGAAATTCCTCCTACCCTCATCGCCCATTCATTCATTCATCCCCACCACGGGGGTTTATCTTCGGGAAATGGAGAAGAAAGGGACAGTTTGGTTTTTTTTAAAAATAATTTTTGACGAGTACACTCAGCCTTTGACTTGGAATCAGCTGCAGGGCTTGCTGACGGAAGCCCTTTACGAAAAGATGGACGACCGAGAGCTGGACGACGCCACTCGTCGAGCCGTGAGTTGCCAAAGTGCACGTGCCGAATGCAAAATGCAGTCGGCGCATCACGTGATCGCTGTATTGTGTTGGATCTTCACTTTTTCTTTTAATTCATGTGCTTTTAGTTTTTCTCTCTGATTTCCGTGAATCGGTCAAAGTGTCGTGTCGATTATGTCAATAATGACTTCGTGTTGTCAATTACGTGGAAAATTAAATGCTTGAAACGCTTGAACGGGCATCAATCGCACGAAAGTCCTCTGGTAAACCACCAAACGAGCCAGACACAAGCACAAGAGCAGATCGCCAGCGTGGGACGGAAAGGGAGGCAATCATCCGCGTGTAGGGAGGCAATATGGAGTGAAGGGAGGCCGTGTTCCGCCTGTAGGGAGGCGATATCGAGTGTATAAAATTGGAAAGGCGAGGCGCCCGGAAGTCCAGGGTCTCTTCTATTCCTGCTACTGTACCGTCGATGCCGCCCTCCCGTTTTGCGGATATTTATTCTCCGCCCGATGATGGACGAAGTACCGTGGAGGAGTACTGGCACATCCTGTAAACGGGTCTGTATATTTTGGGCGGGACGGAACGGTCTAGGGTCACGCATTGCATCACGTAACGCTTCTACAGAATAAATACGCGGTATACGATCAATCTTTCGGCTCTTTTTTTCCCGCGTTTCTTTTGGCACGGCACCGAATCGCAACCTTTTCCCCAACTTCAACGGTGCTGCCAACAAGGGGAATGGGCGTCGTCACTTCCCCAGACCTTCCAGCTGCTTGAAAAAAAAGGATAAGGAAAGCAAGAAGGAAAGGTTATACTTATTAGTTCCAGGATACGAAAATCCAAACACCACGCCAACCAACCAGCCCACAATACAGACCTTTTTTTTTTGCAGTATGTTGGTGTATAGCATGTCTTTTTCACTTGTTGTAAATCAGTTCAATTAAGTGATTAAGTTCATCAGTCCATGTTTTCCTATGTTGGTCACCTTTCGAGAAGCTCGGAGCACCTTGGACCCCATAAAATATGTATGTAACTGGAATGCGACCAGTCCATCGCCACAGTGGTCACATCGGTCTAATAATTTAAGCTTAAGGGCGATCGGTGTACTTCTCAGTAAAAGTACTTTTTTAAAGTGAGCACTTCCAGTACTATTTCATTTCCCAGTGCTAACGCAGTACTTTATTGGAGTGCCGAGTCGAATCAATTCAGGCCTAATTTTTTTTTAGATCTCTAAATCTTAGAAACCTGAGTAAAGTACTCTTTCCATTTCTGGTACTATTCGGTACCAAAGCGGCACCGATAGAAAGACTGAAAGATCCTGGCGAACGGATTAATTGCCTGATTAATAATTGCCTGGTAGTAATTTATGTCATTCCTTTCGGGACGCGTGTTTGCAAATTTTTTGTTGAGACTCCCTTCAGACTCATGATTCGATTGTGGCTGGTCAACAGATGGCGGAAATGATCACGACGCACTACTTTAAAGAGGGTCTCCCGACGGAGATCGTGAGTTTTTTTTTCCCCACGCTCTTTGGGAGATGCGAGTGAGGTCACACGAGGGCTCACTCGAGCCCTCTTGAGTTCGCTCGATCGTAGTTAGCAGACAGAGAGATCCTAACGAACGCATGCGGGGAGGAATCCCCCCTTGGTACAGGAAAAGGAAAAAAATAAAAATATATAAAAAAAAGACTAAAGACAATGGCCCATTCCAGGGACACATTGGTGTACTGTGTAGACATTGTTCCCACTAACAGCACTCTTAACACCCCGCACTTTTTCCCACGTGCTCTGGTCGACGTTGGAGTCTTGTATCGTCTGGGGTTTTAGACGTCTTTCACGTGTTCTTCGAAGGTTTTTTTTTTAATAATAATAATTGTTAGTATTACTGAAGTTGCTTGTCAGACTCAAGATGATGTGAAAGTGAAATTGTTTGTTTTTCTCGCAGCACTCATGGCCCGCGATGAATGAATTCGTGTCGAGGTAATCGACCTTCGCTTAACCTGGGTTAAGTGTAACCGCCGGTTGCCATTTCTAAGAATCTTGTCGCACGAAAACATGGGAGAGGGAGGGAATTTTATCTCGAAGCCCAAAGGAAAATAAATCGTATAAAATAATATATAATCGCTCATCGCATAAAATGTGCACGGTAAAATGCGTTTGCTCCTCAGCATGAAAAGCCATTAAATATGCGTGTTCAGTATTTAGTAGACCATTAAATATGTGTGTCCATGGGCTTTCTGACATTATATTCGCTGCTTTTTCCGTGAATATCACGAGGTGTACCCAGCCTTTATTTAGCCATGTCTTTCGAGTTTTGCAGTGGGCTGGCGATTTATAGACTTGAAGGAATGTTCGATTAAATATAAATTATATCCCTGTCGACTTCCCCGCTTTTTAAGTTTTTATTTAATAATGACATTCACCATATCGACGCGGGAATACAAAATGGGGTGACATTGGGTCTGGGAGAACTCGGAGGAATCAGGAAGAAATATTTATTGCGGTCAGAAGCAAACCCTCTTGGGCGGGCCCAAGTTCCCCCCCCCCCCCCCTCCCCCAAAAAGTAGGACTGCTGAAACAGAATCCCAATTTCCAGTCATCATTTAAAAAAATTATATAACAATCCAGATCACCGTGGCAAGTAGTTTTGCGCAAACTGTGTAAATTTCTGTTTTATGGTGGAGCGAGCGGCGTTGGGTTGGGGGGGGGGGGGGGGGGGGGGGGGGGGGGGGGGGGGGTTGGGGTGGGGGGGGGGGGGGGGGGAAGGGGGAAGGTGGTCTGGGGCATGTTTTCTAGGCGTGAGTTTTGTCGCAGGTGGAAGAGTCAAGGTGTGAGGTATGAGGTATATCCACCCCTTTTCACATTTCCATCTCCGGACTGAAAACATGGACATATGGCGACAAAGGTGATGTTGGCCAAGGGCACAATAGATGGGGAAAGGGATATTTTTTGATGCCTTGACGCAAAGGCTCTAAAACACCTTTTTTCCCCTCCCGACCCACGAAAATCCCTGTTTCCTTTGAGGAAACCGTTTTGGCCTTCGAACAATGATGCGACGGGGTTGGAAGGACGTTAATAAATATACGTTCGTGGATTCGGGTGATGGACGTTGAATTTCATGTCGGTTGGTCGCATGGCTCAAAGCATACGGTAAGATTTAAAAAAATGTAATCTTTTTGTTTTGTTTTGATGAATCCGTGCGACACGGCTCGCTATCATCAGCCGAGGTCAGTCGGATCTCGCCTGTCCCGATGGTCTTCTCGGATGCCGGACAGAATCTGGATCGACCAAGATGCTAGATAAAAATCTCCTTGTTCGATGCGTATCGTTGATGGGAAAGCAGTGGAGAATTTTCGGTCCATTTTGGGTCAGCCCACCTTATCAGTGCACACCGGGTCGGGAGGAAGGAGTTGGTGCCGGATCGTGTGTGTATGTGTGTGTGGCCAGATGACGTACAGTTGTGACAGATGTGGGGGGGATTGAGGATTAGGGGGCTTTACCACCGGTCAATGGAAAAGTGAGAGTGTGTGTTTATGCCACCCCCGCCTCTCCCCATGCCCCCCCCTCTCTCCACCCCATTATGGTGGAATATCCGAACCCTCCCACTCGTTATGAAGCCGTATGTTCTCTTCACCTCCCCCTTTGCATGTCTTCATTTCTCGGATTCAGTTCCGATTGGGGAGGCTGGTGGTCCCCAGCGTCATGCTCTGGCCCGGGTGTGAGAATAGATCATCTATCGCTGCTAAAATGTCTTGCGCTGGGACAGGGAGGAGGTCAGGGAGCCTATCATACTGATGCCATGCCATGGATATGGCATGGCTCTTTATGGCATGGCACTCTATAGCTCTTTCGTCCGAACCGATGCTTTCATTCGCTTTTTCTGAGGAAAAGCGAATGGATAAATTGTCGCGTAGTCCCTCTCTGCCACTACGGAAGACGATTGCGATACCGACGAAAATTCCACGATCTTTTTATTCTTCGTTTCCTTCTTTGGTCATCTGTTACCGTAGTCTATATAAGCAATAATTTTTTTGATTTGCCGAACAGATTTTTCGGGTTATTTTCATTATTTTCCCGTTCGCGTAGCCCGTCGCAGACTGTTGCATGGGGTCCATGTGCGGGTCTTCGTTTCGTGCTGGATGTTACGTTGCAGTTCGTGTGCTAGTAGGTCGAAGCCCTGCATGCATATGCAATTTTTGGTTTAAACCCCCAGTGTCTCGATGTCGGTAGACGATGGTGTTAGCATGCACGGCATGATCATTCGCACGGCATGATCATTCCTTGCGAGGCAGTCGCTCCCCGTCGCCTCGAGAGAGAGATTTCTCGAGGAAACCAACGCCTTTAAGATGCGATGCGGTCGTTTGACCAATGCCAGTAGCAATTTTCAAGTCAAGAGAAAACTCTGTGATATATTTAAATGTAATATAATCTTGGAAATGGAAAAAAAAACCAGCAAGGTACGTGTAATGAAATTTAAGGACTTTTGTAGAAGTACAATAAGGTGCGGAGTGAAAAAGCACAAGGGAGTTTTTACGCCCCCGATGTTTCAAACACATGCTAAAAAGGGTGGATTTTCGAACAGATCGGTAAATAAAGCTGCATTATCGGATAGTGCTCTGTTCAAAAATCCACCCTTTTTAGCATGGGTTTGAAACATCGGGGGCGTAAAAACTCCCTTGTGATTTTTCACTCCGCATCTTATTGTACTTCTACAAAAGTACAATGCGTTTCACAATATTAGCTCATTTGACAGATCATTTCACAATATTAGCTCATTTGACAGATCATTTCACAATATCAACCCTTTTTAAATTTAATTCTTATTTATTTTTTTGAGATTGCTTTTTTTTGGATTTTCTTCGGCGAAGGGGAGCCGATTGCTCGACAGGAATTTTTTAAAAATTATCCCTCCAAGATGGGATTTATATATATGTGAAAATTCTCCATAGCTGGAAAGGATCTTCAGCCTGACGCGGCTGAGCAAGCAGCGGGAGGCGCAGGAGCGGCTGGCGAAGAAGGGGATCGCGGTGGGGCCCGAGGGCGGGGGGTCGCACCTGGACCAGGCGGCCCGGCTCCTCTCCCGGGCGGAGTCCGTCCCCACCACGCTCCTCGTGCATTTCTTCGGGAGGGGCGGGAAGGGGGAGCTCACCTTCGACGATTTCAAGAAGTGCGTCTCTTTGCGGTTTCTTTCTCTTGTTGGAAAGCGCTTTAAAAAAGGCGAATGAATGTGAATGGACAATGGTAAATTGATAGAATTGGAGCTTATATTTTTCCTCGAGCATTTCTAATTTCGATATGAATCGAGGGATTGTTGATTCCTTTTGCTGGAAATACGATACATTTTATTTTCGTAGCTGCGTGAAGTTTCAGGCTCGAGAAGTTTTCAAAGTTGCCAGAAAATAACGATTACCTAGCGAACAGATTCGTGAATTCGATTAGAGCGTTATCGCCATCTCCTGGCAAGGTCATGGAAGCTTCATCCCTGACCAGGAAAACTTGAAATTTCTCTCGAATTCCCGCTGAGATTGTAGTCCGTGTCGGCGCGAATCTTTCGTCGATACCAGCGGGAATGCTGCTGTATCAAACTTGACCGATTTTCGACCTTCGCTCGCAGATTCAATGAACTGTCATCAATCGGTGTTTTTGGTCGCTCCATTAAGCAAGAACTAAATGATATGATCGCGAAATGGAGCGTCTCCGGACGTCGAAGTAGGTCGGTCGCCCCTCGTCTACATTTCATATCCCCGTCGTGTTTAGCTTGTAGCGTCTGCGACGGTGGCCTCAAAGAAGGCTCTCGCTGTCGGGGCTTGTTTATTTTCCTTCCCCGCTTGCGTGCGAGTCGGGTTTATGGAGAGCCGGAGTTCTCGGAATTCCCCCCGATTTTGTTTTTCGATTTCCCCCCTTTTTCTCGGGCGTGACGGGCGTCAGGTTCATGGAGAACCTGCAGACGGAGGTGCTGGAGCTGGAGTTCCAGGAATACTCGCGGGGCCGGGAGGTGATCTCGGAGACGGACTTCGCCCGCATCCTCCTCCGCTACACCTCCTTCCACTCCAACCAGTACGGTGCCGCGCTCGGCCCTGGTCCTTTTCTTCCGATTTGTATTTTTTATTTTATTTTTATTATTTATCAATTAATATTGCTATAATTTATTTTAAGAGGAGAGAGACTTAGAACGATCGGAGAACCGTAAAAACGAGCAGTCGTATATGAGTGAGATGGATCGATCAGGTGTTGATTCCCAACACGAGTGATATCCTGGAAGATGTGCTTAATGGAGAATAATTTTAGGAGGCATAGAGAGGGATGAGGAGATTGATGAGGTGTTGCTTCTCATTGTAGGTATGATGAGGTTCTCGATAGGCTGTGGGAACGAATGCCCACGGAGACGGGCATCACCTTCAAGGAATTCAAGATGTTCTGTCAATTCCTGAACAACCTGGAGGACTTTGCCATCGCCATGAAGATGTACACGCTCGCAGACCGACCCATCTCTCAGGGTCTGCAATGCCATTCTCTTCATAAATGGAGTAAACGAGTATCGAAAGTTTCCTGCCACGTTTCTGGAATTTTTTTTTTTTTTTGACAGATGAGTTCCAGCGAGCGGTGAAGATCTGCACGGGGGAGACGCTGAGCCGGCACCTGGTGAACGTCGTCTTCCAGATCTTCGACGAGGACGGGGACGGGCAGCTGAGCTACAAGGAGTTCATCGCCATCATGAAGGATCGGCTCCACCGCGGCTTTCACGTGAGGATTGCTCGGGGAAGGGCCGGATCCGGCTCGGGATTCGATTTAGGGGGTTCATCGATTCCAATGATCAAAATTCAGAATGCATTGGCTTTCATTCGATGTGGAGTTTTTCAGCTTTCAAATTGCTTGATTTGGACAACTGAACTGGCTAATCTGTTGAGGAGATTCGTGATTTAAGATTCGTCATTTTTAAGGGATGGCGATGCAGATTTTTTGTTTCATATCAAAAAATCGGATTTAGCCATCTCTGCAGTAATCACACTCACTGGTTTGCGTATTTTGGAAAATCTCATTGCTTCCCTTGCAGACATCCGGAAGAAACGAAGGGTGGCAATCGTTCAAGTCGTGCATGCGGATGGAGATGGAGAAATCCTCCTGATGTCACCCTGTTTCCCAGTCACTTCGTTGTTTGTCTTTCCCGATGAAACTAATATAATTCCTTCCTCACAAGTTGTTCATTTTCCTTCAGATGTTCGTTTTTAAAAAAAAATTGGGATCTATTGTCTGGAAGCTCATTTATGTGTTGTCTTGGAAATCCTTTGTAAGGAATTAGTTGCAGGTAGTTGCTGTTACATATCTTGAATCAGCAATAAATGTTGGGCATTTTCTTACCATATTGTTGAAGGGCATGCTTATAGTGCTGTGGGGTGTGTTTCACCCATCTATGCTGGTGGCCTAAAGTTTAACAATAGAAGTATATATATAATAAAGTTATATAATGAAGTTTGCTTGTTACCCTATTCAGCCGTGTTTGGCTTTCAGAAGAGGAATTTATCATATCTGTGTGAAATTAGAATGTTGCAGACTCTGAGGTGATGACCAGGTCTTTGGTCATGACTTGTGATGCATCATCAGGTCATGTTTCATCTCAGTAGTGAAAATTATTAGTTTTATGAAGAATACATAACATGCTCCCTTCTGGGCAGTGTTATAAATCCAGTTTTGGTTTTCAAAAACCACTCACTAAAGCCTTTTGATAGTTGTTTTCTTATTTTACAATACTTGAATCTGGTCAAAAACTGCATTTTAAATGGCTACACTATCTTGTACACTGTATAATTGTGGTGAATGGGCTTTTAACTTCAGCATTGGGATCGGATATTGCTGTTGTTGGGGTGGAAGTGGGCTGAATCAAGGATGCAGAACCTTGAAGAAATGTGCAAGACCTTATTGGCACCCAGATAGAAGCCAGAATCTGACATTTGGTAGTTTCAAAAGCACCATACATTTGAAAAAGGTGCACAAGTAAGCCAAGTACAGGGCAGCAGTGGCAGCAGAAAGTACTGTACGTTTATCAACAGAGGGTGGGAATTCAAGCTTGGTTGAAAAATCCCTGTACAATTTTTGAAACAATCTAGAATGTCTAAGATACATTTGGGTTTGATTCTGGTCTTTAATGGCTTACATGCAAGTGCATGACCCCTAAAATCACTGGGTTATTGTCACTAGTGCAATGGTGTATGGGTGAGGAAAAGTTATTTCAGTTGTGATCTACATAGTGGCCAAATAAGTAACCTGTTGCTCTTCTTTGTTGTCATCTTAATGTTATGGTTCCGACTAATTCACAAGCAGTAATTTTGCAATAAGGCCTGAATGGTGAAACCTCATTTAGGTGAGATGAAGAGACATTTAAAAGAAAGAGCTCTTTTTCCTGTGTAAGGGTTCATCGATTCTTAAAGAACCATTATTTACAAAGGAGGTCTCAGCATTCAACCCAATTAAACCTTGTGTATGTTAAGAAAATGCTATGAAAGTATTACATTATCTGAGACCATTCAAGTGTTGAGTTGGTTTTTTTTGTCTCTCAGTATATCACTGTTCTTGGTCATCTGGCCAACCACACTTTGACCATTTCAATGTGAGGGGAGGAATATGTCTTTCCAAATCTGGGCATCTGAAGACAATGACTCTGGTCGTTCAATTGCATGCAATTTTGCAAGTATACTCATCAAACATGTGATGAATGAAAAACTGAGTTCAAAGTACTTTTGCATTTCACAACTTCCCAACATGGTCATTCATGCCAAAGTGGAAGCAACACCACTTTCAATTGTAGGAACAAGAAGGAATTAACTTATTATTCTGAGACAATGAAGATGATGATGCATAGGGAAAAGGGAAAACCAAGGAATACATAAATGGGGTTATGCAAAGGAATCCCTTACTTCCAAGAAAAATACAACAGGCCATACTGTCACACTGAAGCAACTCACATTTAAGTTTGGGGAATGGAAAACAAGTTTAAATCCAAGAGATTGGCGCAGGGTCAACAACGAGCAAGGGAATGGAAAGTCTTGATTGGAATTCCTCCAGTAGATGAACATGAACTCCATGATCTTCGGTTGGCACCGGAGACTTCTCTGACACTCAGGGATATGCAAGATTGCCTCTTGCAACTATCTCTCTTCCTTTCTCTCAACATGCAGGAAACAACCTACAACAAATGGATCCAGCATTCCTCAATCTGGGATGCAGTTGGGAAAATGTACTCTGTGCTTATCATTAACATGGTCTAAGGACACTTTCTGGAGTAAGTATAAAAGAATTCATTGTGGATGACAGCTGAAAACCTTGCAAACATGGTGAAATAATCTCTGCATATTTGTCTCAGAAACATATCTCATGTGAATCATTCTTGCTTGGATAGGGCCCTCCCCATGATAGGTGAATTCCACAAGACAATGTTGATAATGTCACATCAGTTAACCAGGAATTACAAAAAAAAACTCAAGTCCACGAGTTGAGAAAGTTGATGTTGCTGGAGGCTTTTCTTCATGTCACTGCATGAAGTCTAAGTCAGTGGATCACTACAGTTATGATGGTATTTGGAAATGCAAATAGAGGAGGCATATCAGTAAAATTGGAAAATTTCTGGGGAGGGTGAAAAAGGGTTTAAAAATGGAGCTGAGGAAAACAGGCTGATTGTCTTAGTTGCAGTTCTGGACTGCAAATCACTTAATCATCATAGCCTTACACTAAGGACAGACCAGACTGATCATAAATTTTCTGAAACTCACAAAAGATTTGATAAGAAAACCTCCTCTGAGACATGCCTACTTATGAACCAGCTACATTCAATGGTCTGCAAGCACTCATCAGGCAAGCAGGTCACTCCTTTGAGGACTTTTAAAATTTCAGATGAGTTGGTATGAAGCAGGTACCTTGGGAAATTAGAAGTCTCCTCTGCAAACTTGTGTCTGACCATAAATGTTGCAATAACTTCAGCTACCTTGTCAGGGACATCCTCATGAACAGCATGTCCACAGTGAGGGAGAACTTGCATCTGGAACTTCCCTTAGGGGACAAAAATAAAGAAGTCAGGTAATGAAATGATATCTTTGTGAACTCAGGCCTTTGAAGAGCAATGAAAGGAGACAAGAAGTAGCATACAAATAAGGAATTTGCCAACAAATTTTGTTATGGAACTTTTTCCAGTTCTCGAGAGTTTTTAAAACAGCAAAATCTACGTGGTGGCATGTATAAACATGTCAAGATATTTAGATTTATTTTTCAACCTCCAGATGAGGCAGAAGTCTACAAATCATACCAAGTATACATCTACAGTATATTTCCTATTGGTCCCATGAGTTTCTAGCTACCAGAGTACACCCACAGCAGCTGTTTAACTAAGGCACCTCAACATTTATCACATCACTCCTCATATTATTGGGAGAGGTGCACAATGGGTCCTGTTTTGCCATTGCATATGGCATATCATTGGGTTCCATTGAGTGATTGATTTTATCTCCTCACTCATCTCATTACAGGCCTGTTGAACATAGGCTCTAGGTTGAGTAATGGAGTGATACATCTTGCCAAGATGCCAGCTTGAGGTCATGCCGTGCTCATGCTGGAGCCCCTCCTGAACCATGCATGACATGAAAAATTTTAAGATGACTTCTTTGAACAGCCACTGTGGGTGTACTCTGGTAGCTAGAAACTTCTAGTTTTCAGGAGGCTGAGAGAAAAGATAGATGCATACTTGGAATGATCTGTACACTTCTGCCTCATTTGGAAGTTGAGAAATAAACACGAACATAGTTTTTTATGCACCACCCAGTATTTAAAAATCCCCATTACAAATGGCTTAGTCTTAATCAACACATGTTATAAATAAAACTCTTACCTGTCTGTTTATGGCATTAAACCAAACAGTTACTCTAATTTCATCATTTAACACCTTAAAGTTTTTAACATCTTTTAACATATGAAGGGCTGAAAGGCAAAGTGGTCTGTCTGCAAAAAATTATTTCCTGAAGCTCCACATGGAATGATTGAATATTCCAGTGACCATGTTAAAAGTGAGAAAAAGTGGTATGTATCGATAGATCACTTCATCCTTTACTTAATTCCGAAAAACTATAATTTTCTATGAAAGGAACAAGGTCCTATGAGCACAAAACCCACAACACTTTTTTCGGAAATTTTTTGCAGAACACTTTGCCTTTCAGCCCTTCATATATAATTTAACATCTAACACTTTTTGAGAAGTATCTATTTTACTTTACTATTTTACCACCTCCACTCTCACTTAGACAAGGGGTGGTCATCTTAAGGTCCATTTGCCTTCATTTTTTCTTTTTAACTGACACTGCTTCTTTGGCATTCACCATTTTATGCTTTGGCAATGCTTTGTTACTTACTTTCCAAAGGATTCTTTATGCATTATTCTGTTTTTAAAGGGAATAAATTGCCCATACTTATGCTGTGCTGAGAGAGGGAACCATGACAGGTGTGTGAGACAACATTCATGGAACCTGCAGATATAAACATTCCTGTTGCCTCTGACTTTTATACAAAGCAGAAGGAGAAGAAAAACCTGACTAGAAAAGGTAAAAAACTTCTTCTAAATGAAAATCACCTTAAATGTTATGTAGACCATCACAGTGTTATCAGAAATGAAAGTCTTACCCCTTCAGGATCTGTTTCAATAAATATAACATCATTAGGCTAACCTTGCATTTGACCAACGGTGAGAGCCTTATCCAGGCGGTCTATCCCTGCCAAGAGAAGAAGCTGTGGAACACTACACTCAAGGAAGTGCATCGACAGGTCTTCAAACCATCCATTCCAGAAGTCTTGAGTTTTTGACAAGTTTATTCTCCACTCATACTTGTGAGCTGGTTCCTGCAAAATATGGGCAAATCCAGGCAAAGGCATTTACAAGATCCTACTGTTGCTCATCAAGATGGGTTCAAGTCAATCAACACCATAACAAAACATAGAATACTGTGATCAGCCAATCAACTCATGGACTGCACCACTTTTTACTCATCTTCAGGCACACTTATAAGTATTTACATTTCAATTTTCAATAAAACAGAGCATTTTAATGTGATTCTTGGAAAATCAGATAATTCCAACTTCATTAGATCTCTAATGTAATACTTATGCTTCAGATTGTTTCTTTAAATTGTTTGTTTTTTAAAGACTAACACAAAAGTCTGAAGTCATGGGTACCTCATGTCTTGGCTTCTTGAACTGGCCCCCTTCTGAGACCTCCTCTTCAAGAATAGCATTAGGGTCCTCTGGCATTCGAAGAGCTGGGACAATTTCTTCCTCAGGGTTGTCATCTTCATCTTGTTCTGGCAAGAGTTCAGAAACTTCATGGGTGGCAGGGAGTCCAGTTTGCACACTGTCCAAAAAAAGAAGAGAATGGATGAATGTAGCATGACATTTCAACTTGAGTGACACAAATTAGATATTTTAAACATAGTAGTAAGGAGTAAGATTAGGTTGATCCTGATGAAGAGGTAGAATGGTAGAATATTTGCATCTGGTCAATCATTCTGGATGTTGCACTTTGCTGCTAGCCCTTTGCAGTTAATTTCCCAATTGAATTCCCTGGATCCCTACACTGAAGTTCTAATGATAGGATGCAGTGTTTACTTTTACCCAGCCTTGGGGTTGAAATTTATAACTGAAAATTATTCTAGTCTGGCAGTCTCCTTGCTGAAAAATTGGCATGTTCCTCTGTTGCCATTGCTCATGTGTACCTCTGGTTCAGCACAACAAAATTTGTTCATTACTCAGCCTCAGGATGTTGAGAAAAATGCCAATACCTACTATGTCTTTTTTTGTCATTAGTCCACATGAAATCTGCCCTTGCAATCACTCCCTGCTGAAAATCAATGCTCTTTGGAACTCACTTTGTGATCTGACCAGGCATGGAAACCCTGGCAGACTCCACATTTCTCACTTGGCCACTCCGGACACTGTAAAAATAAAATAGAGCACTCAAGAAAAGAATAAGAAACCAGGAATCAAGTGATATCAAGAAGTTACAATGTTAAGAACTTAATATTCTTCATCAATACATACTTAGTTGACAGCATTTGTAGTTCATGGAAAAGGTAAACTTTTATGACAACCAGAAGACATTTCAGCAAGATCACTGGGTGACTCACCACCACTCAATGGCCTCTTCCACAGACTTGAACCCCTTGGGCCTGCAGCGTAGGACATTCTGCATGGAAGAGAGGGAATCGAGAGCTGTGCCCTCCACCACGTCAATCACAGCCAATCCAATGAGTGAGGGGATATATTGCGCATATGCAGTGTGCACTGCCACAGCACCACCCATGCTGTGACCCATCAGAAATATTGGAGGTGCCTCCTCTCCATACAGGATCTCCAAGACTTGCTTCACATCTCTATATTGTGAGGAAAGTAATCTCTACCTTTACCAAAGTGGATAGCCATGGGCATTCTAATTGCAAAAAATTATGCATGAATGTCAGCTACAACAGCCTTGAGGAAAGGAATCTGTAGAATTACTGAAGTTTGGTTAATAAACTTGTATAATAATTGTAATGTTCCAAGGTTGTAGGATGATTCTTAGCAGAAAAAACTTATCAAATGCCCAAATCAAGGGGAACACAATCATGATAAATGAATTTAATACTCTGGTTGAGTGCTCTGTGATTCCTAGACAACTCATGATCATTGCGAACTTGCCAAGTTGAGTATGCAGTGCTATAAATGGAGGGCATTTTCAAAAGAGATTTCAATGCAAATGGTAGTAGCAGCACTAGTGCTGATGGTACTGCTTCTCTGCCAAGACCCATCTTATTATACATGGTGGGCCAAAAATATGTACCCAATTGCACAATGACACAATTGCACAAGATAACCATACAAGATAGGATTGAATGATAAAATGCATTAAGCAGGGAAAAGTCAAAATTTATATTTGCTAATTAACCATTTCTTCTGTTGCAGGTTCAAAATGCTGTATAAAACTCACAACTCACAATCTTTTGAAACTATTGATGAATATAAAAAAAAGAAAATAAGAAATTTTATATGAATAGTACATGAATAGTTTGAAATAAATCCAATTTTAATGATCATAACTAAATGGAGAAATGAGAACAAAACAAGAAGGGGGAGTGATAACAGGCCTGTGCAGCATGTTCATTCCCATTCTCAACGTAATATCAGAATTTGGGTGTCAATGGGTTAAGCTTAAGATTTAGAGTTAAAAAAACCAGTTAAACACCACCCTCCTTATCACATCACAAAAGAGCTTAATATCTGTGCAATCCATAAAAAATCTCAACTGTCAAAAATCTACATGTCTACTGCATCTCTGCTGCATACCACCCTAAGAAGGGGCTATAAAAAGGGAATCTAAGTCTCACCTGCACAAAGTATCAATAGAAAGATCTTCATCATTCTTCGTCACAGTATCCCCATGCCCTCGTAAGTCAATTGCCAACACTCTGCACTCCACAAAACTCATCACACAGGACTGGGAAAAAAAGAAAACAGAGATTACAGTGCCTGCATATTGATTTCATGCTTCTTTGGATTGACTTGGAATCGGGGGTGGATCCAGGTGGGGTGGGGGGGGGGGGGGGGGGTGGTTTGGG